CCCACTGATAGAACTAAAGGCTAAATTTTCACATTTAGCCTTTGTACTCTGCTTCTGCCCCGTAGATAGAAGTAATTACCACATTCTGCTTCTGTATCTCGCTTTGCTACGTAGACAGGAAGACCCCATAGGCTATATAAACCCCAAGAATCCTTTGTTCGGGGCTCAGAATTTGGAGACTGACTCCTCTGGGCCATACACGTTAATAAACCTCATACTCCAGAATCCCTCGTTCTCCTATAACAGCTTTGTTTTCCTATAACAACACCACCATACTGATTAATTACTATTGTTAACTTTATCTTTATTGTTGAGATTATTACAGATGACCCTATCTCCCACAGCCTTTGATCACTATAATGTTATACTATGTCTAACATAAGGCAAAGTTTCTTGACTTCATCCTTTACATTCTGTATAACATTATTTGGGGCCCCAGCTGCTTGATTATAATTCTTAAATTTTTACAGTTAATCTATTTGGTCTATTCTGTTTTTCTTCTAACTTTCACATTTATGTAATACTTTAATAATATAATGAGCTTTTGTGAATCCACCATTCAACCCAAGAATTAAAACATGACCAGGAACTTACTCAACCTTTGTGCTCCTCCATCTCTTTCCCTTAATGTCCTTATCCAGAATTTCATTTTTATAATTAACACATATTTATGTGTATATATGTATATTAACCTGTCTGAATATTTTACTGTGTAGGTTTTCAAACTTTCTGGAAAGGATGTTATACTATATGTTGTTGGTAACTCTGAGCGACCTTCAGACCATAAGCCACTAAGGAGCCTCCTCTGCTCCTTTTACTTCCTCCTACCTGGCCCCTAGTACTTGATGGGTTAGCCAATGATGGGTAAGATTCCTCAAGGGAGGGATGACCTAAGACAGTCACAATCATGGGGCCCCCCAGGGAAGGACTTGGGGGTTACAGAAAAAGGGGGTAATGGGCCCTTGCCCCTTGGCTTTGACATAGTCTAAATCCTCATTCTGTCTCCTAATCTCTTGGCTGCCTTACTTCCCCTGCCTGACTTAAGCCTGAAACAATGCTGGAGGTGGGTGTGGCCCTGTGTGCTGGAAAGGGTGGGTTCCCTAGGGTGATCAGGCCTAAGGAAGAATGCGTAAAATCCTACAAAGCCTACTTTGCTAATACCCTCAATTTAAATAATAAAGGACCAAGCAGGAAGTGAGTTTGTTCCCCAGAGTTTTATGGCCCTTTAACTATCTGACCCTGACTCAGAATAAGCCCTCAAAGTTCTCAGAATGTTATCTATTGTTCAATCATTTCTGCCTGACAATGATTAATGAGCATTATTCCTGTGCAAATTGAACCCAATAAAACTTGTCAAGGCAAGAATCAGGGTGCTCTCCCCTTAAGAGAGTGGCGGAGCCATCCCTTCTCCTCCACAGGACTTGGTAGTCCATGGGAACTTGTCTCATGTCTCATCCATAACATTGCGGACACTGTGAGCCAGTGTCTGCGTCAGAATGTATTTTTCTGAGACGTGCTTTTTTTTTAGTATCATGCTACTATTGTAAGATTCATTCATGCTGTTGCATATAGCTAATTTATTTCACTGCTATAAAATAGATCTTAGTATTTATATATTACTGTTTTATGCAGTATATGTTTAGATTTATATTCTGGGGCTGGTCATTTTTCTCTTTTCTTTCAACTTCCTTAACTATGTAAGGCCTTGACATGCAGAGCTCAAGTGTATTTGGGTCAGCAAATGATTTTTGGGTAAAAGGTTGCTGCAAAGTCTGCTACCGCTCTGGGCTCTGGGCTCTGCCTTCAGTTATTACGTAAGAAACTGTTTTTTTCCTGTGATGAGAACTTATAAGATCTACTCCTTTAGCAAGTTTTAAATATGTGATACAGTATCATTAACTATAGTTGCCATTACATCCCCAGGACTTTATTTTATACCTGGAAGTTTGTACATTTTTGAAACCTTCATACATTTTGCCCATCCCCAACCCCAGCAATGGCTAATCCGTTCTCTGAACCTATGAGTTTGAATTTTTTTGAATTTGTATTCACAATATTATTTTTTAGATTCCACCTATAAGTGAAATTATATATTTGTTTTTCTCTGTCTTATTTCACTTAGCGTAATGCCCTCAAGGTTATTCATGTTGCAGATGGCGGGACATCCTTCTAGTTTATGGCTGAGTAATCAATCACACACGCAAACACACACATGATTTTCTTTATCCATTCATCCATCAGTGGGCACTTAGGTTGTTTCTATGGCCTGGACATTATAGCTAACACTGCAGTAAACATGGGATGCAGATATATGTTTTTGAGTTAGTGTTTTTGTTTTCCTTTGGATAAATACCCAGAAGTAGAAGTGCTGAGTTATATGGTAGTTGTATTTTTAATTTTTTGAGAAACCTCCGTGCTGTTTCCACAGTGGCCGCACCAGATTACATTCCCAACAACAGTGCACAAGGATCCCCTTGGCTCCACATCTTCACTGACACTTGTTATCTCTCATCTTCTTTTATGATGGCCATGCTAACAGGTGTGGGCTGATATCTCGTTGTGATTTGATTTGCATTTCCCTGATGATTAGTGATGCTGAGTTTCATGTACCCGCTGACCATCTGTGTGGCTTCTATGGGAAAAATTTCTCTTTAGAACATCTGCCCACTTTTAAATTGGACTGTTTGTTTATTTGCCATTGAGTTTTATGAGTCCTTTATATATGCTGCTAAAGGGAGCACTATGATTTCTTTATGTACTTTGGATAGTAACCCCTTATTAAACATATGATTTACAAATAGTTTTTCCCATTTGTAGGTTGTCTTCCCATTTTTGTTGATGGTTTTCTATGCTATGCAGGAACTTTTTACTCTGATGTAGTCCCACTTGTTTATATTTCTTTTTGTTGCCTTTGCTTTTGGTGTCAGATTCAAGAAATCATCAAGACCAATGTCAAGGAGCTTACTGCCTATTATTAGTTGTAGGAGTTTTTATGGTTTTAGGTCTTATATTTAAATCTTTAGTTCATTTGAGTTAATTTTTGTGTATTGGTCCGGTTTCATTCTTTTGCATGTGGCTGTCCTGTTTCTTGACACCATTTATTGATGAGACTATCCTTCCCCCATGGTATCTTCTTGGCTACGTTGGCATAAATATATTGACCATATATAAATTTATTACCATTTATTTATGGGCTCTCTAGTCTGTTTTAATGCCAATACCATACTGTTTTGATTACTATAGATTTGTAATATAGTTTGAAATAAGAACGCTGATGACTCCAGCTTTGTCCTTTTTTATTAAAAATGCTTTGGCTATTTAGGGTCTTTTGTGATTCTATACACATTTTAGGGTTGTTTGTTTTATATCTATAAAAAATGCCATTGGATTTTGATAGAGATTACATTGAATCTGTAGATTTATTTTGGTAGTACGGACATTTAAAAAAATGTCATTTCTTCTAATACATGAGCATGGGATATCTATTTGTCTTCAGTTTTATTAATCAATGTCTTACAGTTTCCAGTGTACAAGTCTTTCACTACCGTGGTTAAATATATTCCTAAGTATTTTATTTTTATGGTGCAATTGTAAATAAATTTTTTTCTTAATTTCACTGATAGTTTATTATTAGTTATGGGAACAGAACTGGTTTTCATATATTGATTTTGTATCTGCAACTGAGTTTATTCTATCAGTTTTTTGTGGAGTCGTTAGAATTTCCTATAAATAATGTCATTTGCAAATAGTGATAGTTTTACGTCATCCTTTCTGATTTGCATGCCTTTTACTTCTTTTCCTTGCCTAACTGCTCTAAGAGTTCCAATATTATGTTCAATAAAAGTGGTAAGAGTGGACCTCCTTGCCTTGTTCCTGATCTTGGAGGAAAAACTTTCAGCTTTTCACCATTGTGTATGACATTAGTTATAGCCTCGCTTGGTAACCACAAGCAAAAACCGATGGTAGACACACAAAAGGTAAAGAGAAATTAATCTAGGTATACCATAAAGAGAGTCATCAAACCACAAAGGAAGACAGCAAGAGGAGAAAGGAATAGAACTACAAAACATCCAACTAACAAAATGACAATAAGTGCACATCTATTAATAACTAATTTAAATGTAAGTGGACTAAATTCTCCAATCAAAAGACATAGCGTGTCTGAATGAATAAAAAAGAAGAACCACCTGTATTCTTGTGGTTACCATGATTGCTTATAACAGTCTATTTGAAGTTGACAATAAAGTTCAGTTTGATTGTATTCTAAAGCTCTACATTTTTGCTCTCCTGCTTTATGTTTTTGATGTTACAGTTTACATCTTTTTAAAAAATTTTGGGTATCTCTTAACTTAGTTATAATTACTTTTACAACTTTTGTCTTTTAAGCTTCCTACTAACACTGTAAGTGACTACCATATTTTCTATATATTTACCTTTACCAGTGAGACTTATAGTTTCATATTTTTTCTTATTGGTCATTTTCACCTGTTTGTTTTAATTTCTAAAAGTCCCTTTAACATTTCTTGTAAGTCTGGTCTAAATATGCTGAGCTCCTTTGGCTTTGCTGGTCTAGAAAACTCTGTCTCCTTCAAGTGTGAAGGACAGTTGTGCTGGGTAGAGCATTCTTGGTTGGAGGTTTTTGTTTTTAGCACTTTGAATATATTGCATTACTCCTGGCCTGCAAAGCTCCTGCTAAAAAATCTGTTGATACTGTGATTATGGTTCCCTTGTATGTAACAGTTTGTTTTTCATTTTCTGGTTTTAATATTCTCTCCTTGTCTTTAACTTTTGATATTTTAATCATAATATCTTGGTGTGGGTTACCTATTTGGAACTCTATGAGCTTCTGGGATCTGGATGTCAGATTTTAAAATTCTCTAGGGGATTTTAATGCATATTAAGGTTGAGACTACTGCTTCAAACCAACTCAGTCAGAAAGGGCTGTCTGAGCAGAACCCCCCTTGGGCAGAGCCAGCGCATCCGAGGCTAAGAGCGCCCACCTGCAGTATTTGAGAGGAGTCCCCGAGAACTCACTGCCATCGGACTCCGGCTCAGATCGGTTCTCAAAGTCAGCAATACGAAACACAGACAAGCTGGCATTCACATAGCCAACCATGCACCTAAAAGAGAAAGGAAATTCTGTAATTAGACCTCCTATTGCCTCGGCATCCAATTCACTTAAGGCTCTTCTTCCTAGAATTTCCTCCAGTTGTGAGTGCCTTTAGCTTGCCCTGCATTATGAGCACTCGAGTTAGGATACACTGAAAAACCTTAGGCATTGAATCAAGAACAGTCATTTCTTTTGTTCATGTCTGTGTATAGTCATCATACAGAACACCACTACCCCAATCAATGCCTCAGAGAAACAGGCGAAAAACAACACTGCACCACAGCACAAATTATAGGTGTCACTGCTTCTTTCATTGATCACACACAGACAATACACATGCACATGTAGACACATTTCTTCACTAATGAATATGCATGCTCTCTCACAATATCCTGAATATAACTGATGTAAATGTAGTTCCCCCTCTCCAACTCACATGCATGCCATAGCCATGACAGACTATACCTCCTGCATGTATCATGTGCTTTCATGCCTCTGGCTCAGGTTTCCTTTTCTGTTGGGAGTCCTACTCATTTCTTTAAAGGTGAAAGTAGCTCTCATCCTTCAATTGCCAACTGAAATGCTGCACCTTCTGGGAAGATGTCCTCATTGCTCCTCATCACTCCTGTCAAAAGACTTATTCCCTTCTCCCGATGGTGCTGCTACACTTCACAGTTGGCATACAACTTGTACTAGAGCCGGCAGCATGCATGTATGTCTTCTCCTTGGCACTATAATTTTTTGAGCAAAACAGGTGTCCTGGATATTTTTGTATTCTTGGAGCTAGGACAGTCTCGTGCAGTGTAGGAATCCAGTAATGTTGATTTAATTGAGTTGACTGGAGGAAAACTTCAGTTTTCCAGAGATTCTACTTCAGTACCAGAGATTCTATCAAGGTCTTGAAAATGGACTAGAAATTAAAACTATTGCCTAGACTGCCAGAGATGATAAGGTTCTTGAGGGCATGGCTTTCATTCTTTATCTGGAATCAGTATAATACTAAATATTTAGGTTTGGGGGTCAAACTGTGGCTCTGCTGTTTTCTAGACATATAATCTTGGAAAATTTTGTAACTTCTTTAAGTGACAAAAGTCCCCACCTCATACAGTCATTGTGGGGATGAAATGATATATACAAAGTAAGTGACATAGTGCTTAGCTTACAGCAAGATTTTAATAAATGCAAGTGGCTGTTATTAATTGATTTTATTTATTTTTTTGGACCCAGTAGGAGGTCATTAGTAATTATTGGTAGATTTAGTATGGCATGGTCTTCATACTCTCTTTATTAACATTACCCATGGGATTACCCCAAGTTGCTGACCACTGAACCAGAATGATGACATGTACAAAGTTCTGAGAGCACATGGGTCCCACATGTTGTTGCTTGTCTTTCATTTTTTATTTCATTTCGGTCCTTTCTCATTTTTTTCCCTAGATGAGTCTGGCTAAAGGTTTATCAATTTTATCCCTTCAAAGAACCAGCTCTTGATTTAATTGATCTAGTCTATTGCTTTTTTAGACTTTATTTCAATTATTTCTGCTCTGATCTTTATTATTTCCTCCCATCTCATCACTTTGGGCTTTGTTCTTATTTTTCCAGTTCCTTTAGGTATACAATTATATTTTTTATTCAATAGTTTTTTTTTGTTTCTTGAGATGGGTCTGTATATTATGAATTTCCATCTTAAAACTGCTTTGGCTGTGTCCCATAGGTTTGGGGTTGTTGTTTTTTCATTTTCATTTATCTTGACTTATTTTTTATTTCTTTGTTGATCTCATTGTCAACCCATTCATTGTCTAGTAGCATATTATTTGACCTCCAGGTGTTTGTGTTTTTCAGTTTTCTTATAATTGATTTATAGTTTCCCACTATTACAACTGGTGAAGATTGTGATTTCAGTATTCTTAAGTTTACTGGGGCTTGTTTTGTGGCCCAACATGTGGTCTATATGGAAAACGTTTCATGTGTACTTAAAATCGTATATTCTGCTGCTTTTGGGTGAAATACCCCAAAATTTCAAGTCTATCTGGCTGAATTTATCATTTAAAACAACTGTTTCCTTTTTTATTTTCTGTCTGGATAATTTATCCATTGATGTCAATGGGTGTTAAAACCCCTACTATTATTGTATTACTGAAAATTTCTTCCTTAACATCTGCCAGTGTTTGCTTATACATGTAAGTGCTCCTGTGTTGGGTGAGTAAATGTTTGGTCCAACATCCTCTTGTTGGACTGAGCCCTTTATGACCATGAAACATCCTTCTTTGTTTCTTGTTATGGCCTTTGTGCTCAAGTCTATTTTTGGGGTTTTTTTGTGTGTGTATAGCAAATTTGTCTTGCTTTAATAAAAAAAAAATTCTATAAGGTTAGATTTATCCATTTCAGAAATTGGGAATTTTTTTTTTGGATGTTGATTTTTTAAAATATATTTTATTGATTATACCATTACAGTTGTCCTATTTCCCCACCTTCATTCCCCTCCACCCTGCATCCCCCTCCCCCACCATTACCCCCCTTTTCATTTATGTCCATGTGTCACAAGTTCTTTAGATTCTATATTTCCCATATTATTCTTGTCCTCCCCCCTATTTTCTATCTACCGTCTATGCTACTTATTTTCTGTACCTTCTCCCCCCTTCTCCTCCTCCCACTCCCCTGTTGCTAACCCTCCATATGATCTTCATTTCTATGTTTCCACTCCTGATCTAGCTGTCCTCTTAGTTTGCTTTTATTTTAGGTGTGGTTGTTAATAACTGTGAGTTTGCTGTACTTTCACTGTTCATCTTTTTTATCTTCTTTTTCTTAGATAAGTCCCTTTAGCATTTCATATAATAAGGGCTTGGTGATGATGAACTCCTTGAAGTTGACCTTATCTGAGAAGCACTTGATCTGTCCTTCCATTCTAAATGAAAGCTTTGCTGGATAGATCAATTTTGGATGTAGTCTTTGGATTTCATGACTTGGAATACCTCTTTCCAGCCCCTTCTTGCCTGTAAGGTCTCTTTTGAGAAATCAGCTGACAGTCTGATGAGAACTCCTTTGTAGGTGACTGTCCCCTTATCTCTTGCTGCTTCTAGGATTCTCTCCTTCATTTTAATCTTGGCTAATGTAATGATGATGTGCCTCGATGTGTTCCTTCTTGGGTCCAACTTCTTTGGGACTCTCTGAGCTTCCTGGATTTCCTGGAAGTCTATTTCCTTTTCCAGATTGGGGAAGTTCTCCTTTATTATTTGTTCAAATAAGTTTTCCACTTGCTCTTTCTCTTCCCCTTCTGGTACCCCTATAATTTGGATGTTGGAATGTTTAAAGATGTCCTGAAGGTTCCTAAGCCTCTCCTCATTTTTTTGAATTCTTGTTTCTTCATATTTTTCTGTTTGGTCATTCTTTCTTCCTTCTGGTCCACTCCCTTGATTTGAGTCCCAATTTCCTTTCCATCACTATTGGTTTCCTGTGCATTTCCCTTCATTTCAATTAGTTTAGCCTTCATTTGTTCCTCAATCTGTGACTAAAATCAACCAATTCTGTGAGCATCCTGATCACCAATGTTTTGAACTGTGCATCTGACAGGTTGCCTATCTCTTGGTCACTTAAAATTATTGGCTCTCGAGCTTTAAGCTATTCTTCTTGAGCCATAATGTTCTGATCTGGTCGTACCTGTTACATATGAGGTGCAGAACCATAGGTGTTCATCAGGGTGGGGTGACCCAGTTGCTGGGTTGTGATGCTGCATGTGGGGGCGGGGTCAAAGGGGGGCAATAGCCCCTTTGCTGCTTCCCGCTGCTGGGGCCTGCGCAGTCTGTCTCACTGCTCTCACCTTCACTGGTTTATCTGTGTGCGAATGTGTGACCACGGTCAGCCAGCCGCCTTGTACCCTCACTGGGTCTGCCCATTGCTACCCCACACCTGGGATCCGCCAATGGCTGCCTGTGCACCTGGGTTGGTCCAGGGTGGGGGAGGAATCTTTCCTGACCGACTCCACTCAGCAGCTGGCTCTGCCCCTCTTACCGCTCTGGCCACACGGTGCGTTGTTGTCAGACTTCTGTATAGTTCAATTTTCTGTGTTTTAGCTGCATTTTTGTTACTAAAACTTTGTTGTCTTTAAACTTGGTTGAGCAAGAATGCACAATGTTTCCACCGATGCCTCCATCTTGGCCGGAAGTCTCAAATCTATTTTTGTTTGATGCAAGTGTTGCTACTACAGCTTTTTTTGTTTGTTTCAGTTTGCAGGAAATTCCTTTTCTATCTCTTTACTTTTAGTCTGTGTGTGTCTTTCAATCTGAAGTGGGTCTCTTATAGACAGCATATGTACAGGTCTCATTTTTTAAATCCATCCAGGTGCCCTTTGTCTTGATTGGAGCATTTTAGTCCATTTAGATTTAAAGCAATTATTGATAGGTATGTAGTTATTGCAGTTTTACTTTTTTTCTACTTCTTATCTGTTCCTTTATTATTCTCTTGCTCTCGTTAATGACTTTCTCTGGTGTCATGTTTGGATTCTCTTCTATATTTCTAGAATATCTCTTTGAGATTTATGGTTTGTGTTTACCATGTGTCTCATATACACCAAGCTATGTTTACAGTGGTTTTAAGTTGAAGGTCACCATCACTACTGTACTCATCCCCTTCATGTTTGTGTTCTTGTCAGTGAACATGTCCTTCATTCCTATACTTTCTCATTTGTATTTTGGATCTTTTATTCTTAAAGAGATCCCATTCACATTTCCTGTGATACAGATTTAGTAATGATGAACTCCTTTAGAATTAAAAGAAGTAAGGGTAATAATGCATGACTCGGGTCAGTTTTGGAATCAAATGCAAAACATTCGTGAAGATGGTTTGAACAAAGTTAAGGTAGATTAAAGGTAGATATATAAATCTTAAAAGTAGCAGAAGACTCAAGTCAAAGAGAAAGGTCATCAAAAAAGCCTGGAGAGCCCAATAAAACTGAAATAAGAAGGTTATTAGATAAAATTTTTAAGCACCATGAACATTGTCTGGAATCTAATAGGCTGTGAAAAATCTAAAGTTTTGATTTACTACCAGCTGTGCATAATATTTCCACATTACTGCTTGGTTCTCCCCCAAACAAGACAGGTTTCACCATATTTGGAGCAGGAAAGAGCTGCAATAACCATTGGGATTTAACCCTTGGGGAATATGTCGGATGAGCTTCAGAAGCACCTATTGGCAAGTGCCCTGGGGGCTGTGTGGTTCAGGGTGGAGAGAACCGCATGACTTCTCTCCATGAGAACAGGAGTTTAGGCTTAGGATATTCACGTGGTTACCTCACAGTCACACTGCCTTGTGATTCTGGATTCACATCTCTCAGTCTCTGCTCTTCAAAGTAAGGGTAATAATGCATGACTCGGGTCAGTTTTGGAATCAAATGCAAAACATTCGTGAAGATGGTTTGAACAAAGTTAAGTTTTTTAAAGCTAAGTTAAGCAGAGAATGTTGACAACAGTTACAATTGGAAAAAAATGTGTGGATAATATCTGCCATAAAGTGGGATGGTATGCTCACCGAAAGCTGCTAGATAATTAGTGTTTAGTGGCTGCATGGTTATTGTTGTAAAAAAACTTTATAAAACCCTCTTCAAATAGCTGGACTATGAGCCTTTTTGAATTTGATCATCTGTACCCTAGCACATTTACATAGTGTTAATGAACTTGGACCTAGGCCAGGTGTACATTAATTCAGTTGTTTTGATTCAGTGTCACTTGACTCCTTGGGGCTACTTGAACTACAGTGGCTATAGAGAGTAACTCAGTTTGGCTCAGACTAGTGAACCCAGAAGGCAGGGCTGCGTCTATGAGTTGGTAGCAGCCCATGTGGGATGATTTCTGGGGCACTGAAAAGACCTTGTGTTCCCAATACACACCCCACTCAAACCAGTAAACACAGTAAATGCCATAAATTATATTAGATTATTTTGACATTACCCAGATAGGGACTTCTCTTCCGTGACAGTTAAGGTTTCTTGTCTTTTTTCCAAGGGCACAGCAATGAAAACTGTGGGACATGTTATAATGTTGCCAAGGCTTTATCTGACTGAAAACACAGAGCCCTGGCTTTGGGAATCATTGAGGTGATGCCACAGAATTGAGCTCTCAGGGAGTTCACCCAATTTGATTACAGCAATACAGACACCACTCAGGTCAATAGCCAGGAAATGTCATTCAGATGCTTATTTCGCAAATATGTACTGACTACCTCGTGGGTGCTCAGCACATGGTTACATATTTCCCATGTAGAAGTGGCAGAGTCTACATACAAAGACACAAGGAGAATCAGATTGTAATGCTCTTTTGACAAACTCATAAAAATGGCATAACTGTACATGACACCATGTACCACTACACTGCTACACACATGACCACACCACTGACTTCTGAATTTGTAGTGGTTGGGGGATGGAGAAAATGATTAATTGTTGCTCTCTCATTGGATGTCATTTAAAACCTGTCAGACTCCCATCCCTTCAGTTGATCAGGAGGATGTGTTCACTTTGGCTGAAAGTGTTATAATTTCACCTCCCCACCACTGGCTTTCCTGGTTTTGGGTCCCATGTATTCTGTTGCAGAGGCTTCTGTCTGAGGGTCTAACACCACACAATGGCCAGGTAATGAAGATTCCATGATGGTTTCACAGCAAACTTACTTTTGCCCAGCTTCTCCTTGGCCTGCACAAGGTCCATACTTATAAGCATACACCAAGCGAGGGATAAAGTCGGATGTTATCGCGATGACAAATGCATTTGTAATAACAGAGAGAATTCCAATGCCTTCAAGAATTCCATACCAAATTCCTATTCAAAGAGAAGTGTTGTATTAATTCCAGACACACAGCAGAGGTAATAAGTATTAACATTAACTGGGGTAACTAATTTTCAAAGAGTTCTTTCCAAGCATCCTTTCATCTTCCCAAGAGTTGACACTTGCAAACAGGAGTAATTTGTACTTGCAAACACCTTGGCACTGAAGGAGCATGTGTGAAAGAGCCAGCGCTCATGATTTAAAAACTCAATCAAGATCAGACATAAGTAGAGAATTCTGGCCAACGAAAAGGCACCAAAACCTGCTCAATCAGACTGGCACATGCAATGTCTTGCTGCTACCAGTTCCTTGGGGGTAGAGAGAGGGTCCCTCTGGTTCATCTTTGTGGGCTCAGTTGTGATGCACTGACCCAGGGCAGGTGCTCACTGTGGGTTTATTTCACAGAGTGGTTAAAAGACCATTGTGAGCATCCACATGCAATCCTCTTCCCCACACACTGGCTGAACACCTGTCTGCCCTCTACGAAGCACTAGGTTCAGAAATGAATGAAATACAGCCTCTGATCTCAGGCAGCTCTCGAGAGGCTGCACCTGACTCAACTCAGCATCTTTAGCCAAAGACCAAAGACCATTTCTGCCTTTGGAAAAACTGGATCACACTTCATGTGACTCAGGAAAACATTTAGGAAAGAGCAAAACCAGGTTAAGCTATGAAATATCTACAAGTAAATAAGGGATAATCAAAATTTTGGATTCCAAAGTCTTAAGATAGAAATAACTAACTTGGGAATCTATTTAAGTACACATTCTCTAACACTGGAAATTGTAAATCTCCAACTAGGCAATTTTACTTCTTATCTGAAATCATTTAAAGCTAACACATTTATTCTTTTGCAAGAGTTGGTTGAATCGTCTCACATGGAAACCATATGTAAAAATCTAAAGTTGGGGATTGTTTTTATTTTATCTACCAAAAAGTTAATATCTTTTAAAACACATACCCCAAAGACTTACCTATGTCTTTGGCCCTTGAAGCTAAAGGTCGCCTCCATTGTGTGACAAATTTGTAGGCGTCAAGTCGAATTTCAATTATGTTATTTAGTAAGGCCAGAAGTGGTGCTAGGGGAAAAGCTGCCACAAAGATAGTTGTGAATCCGAACTGAAGAACTAGAGGTAAAAGAGAAAAAAGTACATCGGTGTCCCATGACTGTCTTCAAATGGATAATGATGTGAATGTCTCACTGTTTTAATCTACATTTTCTCCAATACTGAAGCACAAGGAATGGAAAGATGGGCAGGCACTGGAAGAAAAGGCACTCCTGGCCCTGGAACAGGGGCATCTAGAAGCCACGATCATTCCCAGGGTCCAGATCTTGGTTTCTAAATACCATTCTCTAAATAAAGGGACCAGGGGTTCTTGGGGAAATGTTTAATTCCAGAGGTAGGTAGGGGAAATGTGACATGAGCCTGGGATATCTTGTGATGTCAGAAAGTTAGGAAGTACTTGAAAAAGGATGGAACACATCAATTAGGGCACAGGACAAACTTGAAGGAGTGCCTAATGACCAAAGCTGGAACAATTTGTGAAACAAAATGATGCTATTCAATTATAACCTGAAGACTAAGTATCTATATCCTTATTGATACAAATACATACTGATCTAAATAAAGAATTGAACACATGACTTAATTGGGGAGAAATGGCCTTTCTTCCCCATTATGGTAGAATTCTTTTTATTGTTGTTCAAGTACAGTTGTCTCCATTTTCCTGCCACCACTTTTCCCCACCTCCTGCTCTCAATCCTATCTTATGGTAGAATGCTAATTAATAAATGTAGAAGGAATAATGAGAATAGAAAATCACCATTGATCAAGTATCATTGTAATGATTGCTGAAGGCAAGAACCATTACAACATGTTAAAATTAGCAGAGAGAAGCATATTTGCATATAATATTAAAGTATTTCCCCACATGATACTTATTAATTACAAAGGAATTTAAATTAGTATCTTCACAATGGAGAGACCTGGTAGACATCACTTCAACCAAGTGATCAAAGTTATTTACTATCACCAGTGACGAGACATACTGACATCACGTACCCCTGATATGATATGCTAAAGAGGAGACAGAATCATTCCTGTGGTATTCTTGCCAAAAATGCATATCCTCAACCTAATCATGAGACTACATCATATAATCTCAAATTGAAGGACCTTCTACAAACCTACTGACAAGCAATCTTCTAATGTCAAGATCATGATCATGTCAAGACAAAGACTGAAGAACTGTCTTAGACTGGAGTAAACTAAGCAGATTACAGCATCTAAATGCATGTTGAATCCTGAATGGATCATGGACAAGAGATAAGATAGTGGAAAACTGGCATATAAGTGCTATCATACAGAACTTGACTTTCTCTGACTTATCTCACTTAGCATAATATGTTCAAGGAGTATCCATTGTTGTTGCCAATGGCAGGATGTCTTCCTTTTACATGGCCGAATAGTATTCCATTGAAGATACTACTTCTTTACCCATTCATCCATTGCTGGATACTTAGGTTGTTTTCCTATCTCATCTACATGAATAGTGATGCACTAAACGTGGAAACTGAATCTGTCTCTCCAATATCCTATTTTCATTTCCTTTCAAGCAGCATAAAGTTGAAATTTCTATCCATTTAAATATACCATCAAGAGAGAAGTCAAGCCACCAACTGGGAAAGGATATTTGATTTACAGCATCTGACAAAGGACTCCTATCCAGGGTAGGTCAATAAATTCTATAAGTCACTAAGAAAAAGAGGATAGTCACAGAAGAGGATAGCCAAAGGACCATAAGCATATAAAAAGGTGCTCAGCATTATTTGTTGCCATGAAATTTCACATTAAAATCATGATAAGACACTGCTACCTGTCAACCAGGATGGCGAAAATTTTTAAAAGGAAGACACAAGTTTCAGACAGTATGGGCAGTAACTGAAGCTCTTCTACTGCCAGTCAGAGTGTAAATTGATACAATTCACTTTTGAAAATGTTGGAAGTGTCTGCTGAACATCAATAAATGCATATCTATGACCTAGTAACCATACTGCTACATAAGTTCCCTTCAGAAATCTGTATATATATGTTAACCAAAACACATACATAAAAACGTTCACAGCTGTATTGTCAGAGCTCACACAGGTGTCTATCACCAGTAGAATGGATGGAGAATAGTGCGTTCCTATGTTCACGTGCCTAGAAAATCTGCACATGCACAAAATAATTCATCCATTGTCACTCTGATGCCCGCACTCCCACAGGTAAAGTTACCTTTCTTAACTGCAATTCAACAGAGGCTTTGATTCCTATTAAAATGCTTCAGTCTAGCATATTTTTTTAAATATTTATTTTTTGTTGATTATGCTGTTACAGTTCTATTCCCCCCTTCATTCCCCTCCACCCTACCCCCCGTCTCCACCATTACCCCCCCTTTAGTTTATGACCATGTGTCTCAAGTTCTTTAGATTCTATATTTCCCATACTATTCTTGCCCCCCCCCCATCTATTTTCTATCTACTGTCTATGCTACTTATTTTCTGTACCTTCTCCCCCCTTCTCCTCCTTCCACTCCCCTGTTGCTAACCCTCCTTGAGATCTTCATTTCTATGTTTCCACTCCTGATCTAGCTGTCCTTTTAGTTTGCTTTTGTTTTAGGTGTGGTTGTTAATAACTGTGAGTTTGCTGTACTTTCACTGTTCATCTTTTTTTAACTTCTTTTTCTTAGATAAGTCCCTTTAGCATTTCGTATAATAAGGGCTTGGTGATGATGAACTCCTTGAATTTGACCTTATCTGAGAAGCACTTTATCTGTCCTTCCATTCTAAGTGAAAGTTTTGCTGGATAGAGCAATCTTGGTTGTAGGTCTTTGGATTTCATGACTTGAAATACCTCTTTCCAGCCCCTTTTTGCCTGTAAGGTCTCTTTTGAGAAATCTGCTGACAGTCTTATGGGAACTCCTTTGTAGGTGACTGTCCCCTTATCTCTTCCTGCTTCTAGGATTCTCTCCTTCATTTTAATCTTGGCTAATGTAATTATGATGTGCCTTGGTGTGTTCCTTCTTGGGTCCAACTCCTTTGGGACTCTCTGAGCTTCCTGGATTTCCTGGAAGTCTATTTCCTTTGCCAGATTGGGGAAATTCTCCTTTATTATTTGTTCAAATAAGTTCAAATTTGTTCAAACTGTTCAGTTTTCCACTGGTGGCTGTTCCTTTCCCCCTTCTGGTACCCCTATAATTCGGATGTTGGAGCATTTAAAGATGTCCTGGAGGTTCCTAAGACTCTCCTCATTTTTTTAAATTCTTGCTTCTTCACTCTTTTCTGTTTGGCTATTATTTGCTTTCTTCTGGTCTGCTCCATTGATTTGAGTCCCAGTTTCCTTTTCATTGCTATTGGTTTCCTGTGCAATTCCATTCATTTCAATTAGTTTCGCCTTCATATGTTTGTCTAATTTGTGGCTATAATCAACCAGTTCTGTGAGGATCCTGATCACCAGTGTTTTAAACTGTGCATCTGAGAGTTTTGCTATTTCTTCATCGCTTAGATTTATAGGCTCTGGGGCTTTGAGATCTTCTTGAGCCATTTTTGGTCTGTTCTGGCCCTTCAAGTGTGAGGAGCGGCGCCTTGGACTATCAGGTCACTGGGTTGTGACGCTGTATGTGGGGGCGTGGTCAGAGCGGGGAAATGGCGGTGCCCTTCGCTACCGCTCGCCACTGGGGCCTGCTGGCTCCAGTCCAATCGCCCACTCCCTCGCTTGTCTATCCGCACACAAATGCATGACCACAGTCAACCCGCAGCCCTGCTCCCTCACTGTTTCCCTGAGGTTGCTTGCTGAGTTGCCCACCAGGTCCAACCTTGCGCCTGGATTCCATGCGCCTGAGTTCGTCTGACCGAGTTTTCCTGTGAAACCCCGCTCCTCTAGCTGCTGGTTTCGCCCCTCTTACCGGTCAGGGTGAAGAATATGTTGTTATCAGACTTCCGAAAAGTTCAATTTTCTGTGTTCTGGCTGTGTTTTCTGTTGCTAATATTTAGTTGCCTCTAAACTTGGTTGTGTGAGGAAGCACAGCATCTCCACCTATGCCTCCATCTTGGTGGAAGTCAACCTAGCATATTAACCTTTAGCCATGCTAAGAAGTACACTTCATGATATGGGACAGTTGAGGGATTGGTTGGTGGGAGGTTAGGGAGTTCTGGGAGGGGCAGAGGAGAAATTTGGGAGTACCTGGGAATCGAAATGCAAAAAAAAAAAAAAGACCAAAGGAAAGATGGGAGTGGTAATCAAAAGCAAACTGTGCCTCTTTCATAATTTTGCTTCAAGTATTCATTCTAGGAATACTATACAGCAATGATAATGAAGTCCTACTACTTGTAACAACATGGAAGACTCGTAATAACCATTATATTGAATACAAAAGGCTACAAAGAGTATGTATACAATTCCATATAGAGAGAGATCAAAAGAAGGCAAAATTAATATACGGTGTGAGAAGTCAGGAAAGTGGTTAGGGAGGGCATTATCATGAAGGGAGGGGACAACGGTGCCTCGTCAACCCTGGGAAGATTCTATTTCTTGATCTAGTTCACAGGAGGGCAAACATTTCCTGTAAAGAACCAGATAGTAAATATGTCTGGCTTTTCAGGCCATATACTCTTTGTCGAAACTACTCAACTGTTCTGTTGTGGTGCAAAAGCAACTACAGGTAATACGTAAATAAAAGGGTGTCTCTGTGTACCCATAAAACGTTACTGACAAAAACGGGCAGTGGACAGTAGTTTGTCAACACCTCTCCTACATAGATTGTTACATTTTGTGAGGATTCATTGATCTGCACATGATTTATATACTTTTACCACTAAAATATCAATGAATGAATTTTTAAAAATATAATAAAGCAATGAGAATGTAAATAAGCAGTTAGAGTTCACCGAGACTTGCTCCTCGCTGCAAAGATGCTGCAGTATTTGGAGCGCTCTGGTTCTGGCCGCATAAAAGCTTCCTTGAAAGCACTCAATATACCAACATTATTTGTTTATTTCCTTTATGGGAGAAGAGTCCATTAAGAGACATCAAAGTGGTTATTTCTCTTAATGAATTCTCTTTATTAAGCTTTATTATTAATGCCCAAATTGATTTCTTCTCCAAGTTATATTGCTCTGCCATTTTATAATTGAAACTCTGAAGAAATCAGTGGATACTCAGGACATAAGCAATCTATGAGATATTAAGCATCAATTCTACTACTCCTTTAATTTTTAGATTCCCCAGAAAGAACTAGCTTCTTTCAGAAGTAATGCATCTTGCCCATCCGCACCCCTAACTTCCACCCCAATGTTGCAAAGCTTAAACATAACTTAGAAAAGGAAAGGGACTCTATACACACTCAATTATTATGCTAAGGGATTTCATTAGCTTTCTCCCCTGGGAAATAAAATTAGGAAAACAAATAATGATATAAGAGGATGCACACAGAGAGCACATTATGCGCCAGGCATTGTCCTAAGTCCTTTTCATGCATTAACCCATTTAATCCACACAAAGAGTATGAGGTAGTTACTCCTATTATTGTCCCTAGTTTAGAAATGAGGAAATCAAGAAAGAGAGAGGAAGCAACTGACCCAGCTTTCATAGTGAATAAGGGAGAGGGCCGAGACTTGACCCCAGGTAATCTGTTTGCAGACCCCATGCTCTTAGTTACATGATACAAGAAATAGCCTGGGTTGATTCCCCAGAAATCTGGTTTCTTAAATAAAAAGGTAGCATAGCTTAAGCAGTATTTAGCTTCCTGCCAAAGCCTCTCCAAGGGAAATGACTGTCCCCACTCTACTGCCTACTGATTGATACTGCGGCATCTTATGACAATTGATTACACTTACTCTTTGTATCTCTGGCTTTGCCCCTCTGAGCCATGCATTCTTTGAAAGCTGGGGCTCTGCCTTGGTCCTTCTCATATGTCTAAGTGCCAAGCATAGTGTCTGCCTGAACGTAACATGGTTCAGCAGATGTCTGCAGAGTGAATCAATTACACCATGAGGGATACCTCCTTTCTCATCGGTTCATCAAGTTTTCTAACTCGTTTTTGCTCCTGGTGATTTGGTACAACAGAGAGAACATGACATCCTGACAAGTTTGATGTGGCTGTCGGCTTTTTGAACCATCCCTATGGGTTGGGCGTCTTACAGCAAGACCCTCACTGTGCTGCATTTAGCTCAAGAATCCCCACACACAGATGGCCCCAAGGTGATGACTGATATATTTTTGGTTGAATGGAACTAGAGAGCAAGAATTTGCATTTATATTGAACAGGATAAAGGATAAAAGGATAAAGTGGAACATTTCCATACTCATTTCTAAGTATTCATCAAAGAGTCCGTAGGCATTCATCGGCTGAAGGTTGTAGTCCTTTTCCCACTGCGGGAAACTTATTTTCCTTTCTGGCCCGTGCTCTTGTCGTACTTTTCTTCTAGTCCACCAGTTCTGAATTAACCTGCACAATGAGATCAGTTTCTTTAAAAAGAAGAAAAAGCATAACTGTTTGTAAGACTTAAGTCATTAAGAAGTAGGAGCATTTAAATAGAGACTCATACTTTAAAAAAACTGAGGACAGGCTGCCAAGGAAATAAAGCCTTGGATTAGGGAGAAAATAACAACGGAGGCTGCAGTTCATGCGAGTAAACAGAATGACTGATGAACTGGTTTTAATCATTCACGAAACTGCCTCATGCTCAGTGTGGCCTATGAGGATTTGATGAAGGACCGAGAACATCTACAACCACCCCTCCCCAAGATGGAATCAGCGCCCAGATATCTGAGAAGAAGACGACTTGGCCGAGCTGGCTTCCTGTCGGCCTGCATGGGTGCTGACTGGCATCTTCTGACTTGGGGGCCTAGACAACTGGCAAACCCACAGAACGCCTCCTCCTTTGGCACACGGAACGTTGCAGTTCCACAGCTGGACGTGCTTGCTTTGGGCTCGAGCTGGAGAGGGGCTCCGACTCCCAATAAAGTGCATCCCACCCTAGGAGGTCGGCACATGAATCCTTAACAGTGCTTGGGAGTGCATCTTAGGATGTTGGACAGGCCTGAGGAAATAGGGGCAGCAGGGTTTCCAGGGGCAGACATGCCAAAAAACAAAAGCAAATGTGAAATAAAGGGACTAGAGGGATGGGTGCCAAAGACAAACTCTGCCTACTTTCCCAGTTTTGCACTCTGTCCACATTTCTAGAAGATATAATTCTCTTGATGTTGACAGTATTTTGATAAATTATGGTTTAAAACTTAAAATGCTTCTAAAGTTTTAATTTTATGATTTATTAAAAGTTTTATAGGAAACATAAAACACTTGGAATGAGTTTTCTAAAATTAAATATAGTAGGGAAAACTACTAGTCGTGGCTCTGATAGGGAGGTAAGGGATGACTTTTCAAAGTGAATTAAGTTCTAGCTAATTTTTCTGGCTAAGTGGTCCTCCCTGGAACCTGGAGTTCTCTCTGGAGATGCCAAGCTGACACGGAAATCAGTAGGTGTGGAATGAAAGCAGAATTAGAAGTATCACTCATGTCCCTTCAACACTTAAATGACCAGAATTGAGCAATCACAGCAGAGTCCAAGGTTACCCTTGCAAAGCTGATGCAAGTTTATGCCCGTTGGCATTAACACAGGTAATAACATGTTTTCCTGGTTAAGATATGCTGACTTACAAACACTCTGGTTTCTTTTCTGAATCCCTAAACTTTTCTCCGTTCCATAAGTTTCTTTTCTGCACAGTCTAAATTTAAAGTAGTTTAAAAAATGCCACTCCTGATTTATCGCAGGGACTGGGGAGTAGAGACCTACTTAATATTTTAGAGCAACTCATAGTGCTGAAGCTAAAAGGGTCAGACACATCAGTGAAAGCAGCTCACATTACAAGTATCCAATATTTGGGGGCCCGGTCTTTAAAAAATTCACTTGTGTTCATGTGACTCGTACTAAGTCTTCCAAAAGAGCCAACGTTTATTATTTTCACGAGTCTCTTTGAATACCTGAGCGTGAGCACTTTGCTCCAGGTACACGCACTGGCTTAGCTGCTGAGCCTGCACGGCTTATCTTACTTGCCACACCCAGAAAAGCCAAAAAACAGCAATGCTGCCACTTGGCTACAGACACGAAGGTACTTACGGGTAGCCAAGTTCCATGAAATTATTCCAGGTCTGCTTTAGCACCATTATAATACCCATTTGCATACAGAGATCAATAAGGCATCCACTAGGGTGGCACTGTGAGGTAAGCAAACACAGACATTCAGGAATCAGTGGAGAGGAAGGAAGGGTGTCTGGTTTCCAACCTGCACAAAGTTGCCCAAAGGCTGTTCAAGGCGGGGCTTTAGGAAACAAGGAAGGATAAGGAGAATACAGACCTCTTCTAGTCTCCACCTGTTTATCAGCCTCAAGTAGGCACCTGGGTGTCCTGCAAATCTTCAACACACACAGAAAAACAGACCATTAGCATCCTGAAGGTCTAAGTCTTCAGTGACTATTAGATTAGCACGTCTTAAAACAAAAATTACAGGTACAGTAAGTGTCAGGTCTAAGGGAATTAGGGAACTTTTCATAGCTGTCATAACGGCAGCTTCTGGAATTCTCCGGGGGATGTGTCCCTTCTGGCCTTTCTGTCTGGCTGCTGAGCACAGAGGCCAGTTCTCATTCCTTGCTATGACTTTGAACATTTTCTACCAAATATCAAGTGCTCTGCTCTGGCCTGTGTAAGCAGCAGGTAGGATTGAAACATTCTGATCTTCTTGAATAACAGTAATGCTGCTGTTTTTTTGTTGTTGTTGTTTTTTGCTTTTTTAAATCAAATGACTTGACTAGAATTCCATTCCGAAGTTCCTAATACTGAGCCAGGGCTGCTGAATTCATCTCATTGAAACCCCAATCCTTGGCCCATCCTGGTTCTCATCTGCTCAGAAACGCGCCCTGGTGTGATGAACTCATGGGACACGAGTGAACTCAGATCCTTCCCCAATCCTCATGACTGCTGGAGTCCGAAGTGTCCCGGGCTGCCATTCCGTGTCAGCCCCTTCCCATCCCTCTTCTGTGGAGTCAGAGGTCTAGGACATGCTGCATGCCACCCTGCCCCTCAGGTCATCTGCTCCTGCAGGTGTGAGACCCAGGGCCCTGATTCGGGCAGAGGGAGTCCACAAGTTTAAGTCCATCCTTCCTATGTGCAAATAATTTCCCTCCACATAACCTTAGCAAGAAAAGGCACACGGGTGCTTACTCGTGAGCGAAAACCATTTCCTGAGATGGGAGTGAAAAGGGAAAGGAGGAGGCCAATCTATTTTTACATTTTGAATAAATCACACTAAAGGAGGGACTCCTCTGTCGCCCCTGGTCAGTGACTTCTGAGTGCTCTGTCCCCCGGCACAGGGGTGTGGAGAGACCGGGTTCTTACCTTCCGAGGAAGAAGGCGATGTAAAATGTGGAGCTGTTCAGATTGACAAACTGAAAAAGAAACATTTTCAGGGTGAAGCTGTTCTCCCACTCCGACTCTGTGCGAGGCTGTTCTGTAGATGAAAAGGAAGCAGAGTCTGAAAGGCTGCCTCCGATGCCCACTCGTCCCCCGACTCCTCTCCGCGTGCACACAGGGTGGGAGCACAGGCAGGCCGAGGAGGCTGCAGGGGGCCCAGCGCCGGCCCGAGGCAAAGGGGGCCACCCATGGGATCCTCAAGCTTGCAGACCAGCTCCAATAAGGGTTTGGTGGGAAGCAGCTACGACTTGTCTGAGGGGGTAGATTATACAGTGCATTCCACTGTTACAGGATGCAGAGAGATCCCGGAGCAGCAGCAGTGGGGCTGCAGGAGCCTCGTGGCCAGTCTTGGCTTCCTGCAGGAGACCTTCCCTTGTTTTGGCCTGTGAGTAAGGCCTGTGTGGGGTCAGGTCCCCTCCCAGCTCCTAACAGTTCCTTGGTCTCAGTTTCCATTGCTGATGAAAGACCAGATACTACCAGGTGAGAGGGGGTCAGACCCCCATCTCAGAATACCGAGGTATTTGACTTCCTTACCTGTCATCCTCTGCCATGGTGTTTCATTCTCATGGACAAACACCGAGATGACCTCACCCTCAGCTCTTTGACTATATACTGTCATCTGTGTCCCGTAATTCCCTCTGTTGCCAATTCTTATTTCCTTACACTTTGACTTTCAAAAAGCAAATGCTCTTTGAATACTGTGACAGGACTGAAAATACGGACCAAGCCTCCAACATGACATCTCCTGTGAGATGCACTCGTCCGTCCCCAGGAGCTGCATCGCCACCCCCAGCGATGTCAAAGAAAATGTATTTCATGCAATAGCACTGTCTCTCTCCCCACATTCCCTGAGCTTCTAATTGCTCATTTACCATTTCGACCCATTCATTCCTTTCCTTAAAATTACAACTCAGAATCCTTCCTAGGAGCCTATCAGAGAAGGGAGGGGAGAAAGAATCTAATTTAAAATGGTTTAGATGTGAGTTTCAGAACAAGGCTACACTGCTGTGGAGGGAAAAAGGATTCTTCAAGGGCTTTAGCTTTAGTTCTCTCTGCTACTGAACTAATGGTTACATAGGAAGGTCTTCTGGATTGTCAGCTAACTGGGTGGGTTCCCAGGTGACCCCACCAGGGTGAACTGGGGCTATATCTCCAGTGGCATCTTTGCCAGCCTGGATGAAGGTGCCACTGGGCACAGCCTACCAAGGCACGGTTACTTCTTCTGTGGACATAAACCTCTTTCTTTTTGGTGAGGGGTGGTGGTAATGGGAGATTTCAGTGGCATTGAAGGAGATGGGCCAAGCGCTCAGCTCTGATCTAGTACATAGAAGGGCTCAATAGATGGCATTATAACGACTATTATAAACAAAAACACATGATTCTTTCCCCTCTGGGCAAGCTACATGTGCGAATGCACTAGAACGGGTTATGTGTGGGAGCATGCAATTTCCTCACACTGCATAGAATAAAAATGACTAATAAAATTGGGATGCTTTCTGTGCCTTGAAAATGTGGAAAACGTTCAGTGCACAGCTGGCTACCAGATTGTTCTGGTGCTCTGAGGGGAGAGAGAAATGTTCTTAGGGATGACTTGTCCAGGTGTGTGCTATTTTCACAAAGGAAAGTGATGGGTAGCCAGCCTACATTCCTGGTAGAAGGCCTGCTGTCTTCGAAGCAAAGAACTCTGCTGTGATCTAATATACCATGAAAACTGGATACATTTTTAAGTAAATAAAAAATGTGGGCAGTAGCAAATAAACACTTTTCTAAACAATTCTGGGCACTTTATACGCATGTACTTCTGCGATGCTTTTTTTTGTGCACGAGAAGAAAACCTACTTTACCTTAGCTCATGATAAATAGAGTTCACGACAGGTGTTAAATCTTTAGCTAGAAAAGATTCCTCTAATGATCAGGCATATTTAAAATGTCCTGCTGAGGGCAAAGAAATTCCTGTATGCAATTCAGAACAAAGGGAATATTTCTTTCCAGCAGCATTTCAAAAATGAATCTTTGAAAAGGTACCTCTCAGACCACAATACTGTACCATGAAATAAAAAGGGCTTCACTTACCTAAATTGGTCAGAAAAAGTGCAACTCTTTCATAGAGCTGTAAAACAAATTTCATACATTTAACAAATGAACTGTAAATGTTCTAAAATCTGTAATTATAAAGGAGATAGGTAATCAAGTCACTAGTGAAAGTAGTTTCATATCCATCCACTGAGCAAACAATAAAAATAATGTGAACAACAGTGTTCTTTCGAAGCAAGACAGAAAGTTACAAGGTCCCGTTTCACTGCTTTTAAAACCTCTTCGTTCTGGAGTAATTCTGTGCCGACAGGGTTGGCTGCCACTACTTACCCGCTTGCTAAGCAAGGCTGGGCAAGTCACGACGCTGGGGCCTCGGCATGCTCAGAGGACAATCTCAAAGACTGATTTTGATGGTAAGATTCTGTAGCCCTACTGTTTAGGGGCCGCTGGATTGCCTAGACCATGGCATTCATGAACCCCGAAGTGATCACACGTCACTGGGAACTCCTATGCTTACGGCCCTCTGCTGTTCTGTTAGGGCACCGAGTGCACCCTTATCCACCTAGCTACCAGGTAAAGGGAGGGCCCTCAGGAGGGAGGGGGAGAGGCTGGGTGCCTGCGAGTGTGCAAGTGCAGGAGGCACCGGTCATGCCGAACACAGCTGGTGACTCCTCAGGATATAAATTGAGAACAAGTGCTTTCTCTAAAATGAAAGATGATAAATAAAAATGAAGAAAAAAATGAGTCAAATGGATTTGAACAACATGAAAATTATAGTCCACGTGTAGACTATAGTAGAGAAAGTGCACTGGTGAAAATTCCCGGGTTGTAGTTGTAACTTCAGCAGGCCGCAGGGCTTGGGCGCACCCTCTCCCCTCTGCTCCAGATCGACTCCCTTGTATGTGAGTGGGCTTTGGACTCCTTGGTCTTAAGGTACTTCCTAACTTTTGAATTCTTTATCCAAGATTTCCAATAACTACAGAAACAGGTAAAATGTGCAGAGTGTATGACTCTAAACTTTCAGCAATGACTATGGTTTGCTATGGTGATATATAATTAATATGACCATCATATCAAATTTTACTATTAGCAATCTCAGACTTTGGAGTCCAATGTTCAAAGAGATTGGTGTAATTTTTAATAAGAAACCCTGTGGTATAGATTTGTCAGATATTTCAATATTATCTGAAAAATAAAATACTGGTAAATAATAAATTAAGACAGATGTTTTAACCAAATATATTTTACTATTCCGAGTGTACTCTATCTTTAAAGTTATTTAATTATCAAGGAATATTAGGGTTGACTGGTGAGACAAACTTTCTCTAAAATACAGTTATTGATTACCCAGTTTATCTTTCACACTGGCATACATTTGTCAAAGGGTCTCACTTTACACACTTGTCCCAAAGGTCTTGGGGGCTGGTGACAGGCCGTTATTTTGATTTGGACACTGAAAAAATGAAATTTAAAAACACAATAGCACAAGAACTGAAATACGATCAATATTAAGCTTTTGACAAATAAGCGAGTGGGAATTATATATCACCATAGCAAACCTGATAGATACGTGGCAGCTACAGGGAGATGGACAGCGAGGCCCTGAGTGGGATGCAGTGGGAGAGGCACAGACAGAGAGACTGACGGTCGATGATGCATCTTCAGCGGAGTGGTTTCTGGAACAGGTCTGACTTCTCTTAGGCAGCTGAGGCATAAACCAGGGATGATTCGCTCTGGTAAGAGCAGCGTAAAAGCTACGTGTCAAAACTGAGTGCCACACTTTGTGGTGTGTTAAAATCTGGAACTGATGGAAAGCTTTCTGATCTTAAGTATATTTCCAAAGAAGCTGGGAGTACTTCTAATTTGATCTTATCCACTGGATCAGTATATGTGGGCTTGTTCTGACGCAAGCCATGTCTGCTGGTTTACTTCTTTTTGGAGCAAGGCATTGTGGTTTTCACGGCTTACAGTGTAATGAAATATCTGGTTCACATGGGTATGGCTGAAGGAGAAGAATGGCAATAAGTTTTAGGCTCCTCCTGGGATACAGCCTCTGTTGGCATCTTTTGCTTGCAACCACCATATTGAGATGTTCTTTAACTACTGGTGAAGCTGAATGGAATTGAAACAGCGAGAAAACCCATCCTATTTACTCCATCTTTGATGTTTGTATTGTTTAGGAAAATAAACTGAAAACTAGTGAGTGCCCTTAACCAGTCATTAAGGGACATAATATTTTGTTAGGATCCAGAATATTGCTGTAAAATAATGTGAATTTTATTTTTAAAGTACACACGAAGTAAGAGTAAATGCGTATCATCAAATCTAAAAAAATAGGCATTCTTGGTCCTGGCTGGTGTGGCTCAGTGGATTGAGTGCCAGCCTGTGAACCAAAGGGTTCGCCGGTTTGATTCCCAGTCAGGGCACATGCCTGGGTTGCAGGCCAGATCCCCAGTAGGGAGTGCGCAAGAGGCAACCACACAGTGATGTTACTCTTACTTTCTCCCTCCCTTCCCCTCTGTCTAAAAATAAGTAATAAAACATTTTTTTAAATTTAAAAAATAAAAATAGGCATTCTTTACAGGTATACTCCTTCAGATATGATTGGACAACTCTAGCAAAATGTCAAAAACAGGTATGTGATCTATAACACTTATATGACTTAAAAATTATAGGCTTTAATTAAGTTTAAAAAGACCATTTAGTTCTTAAGGTTTTTATTTTCAATTAATGAAAAAGTATTAATGATTAATGATTTTATTTCCCAAACCAGAATGGCTAAAATGTTAAGTAGTTGAAAGCAATTTATATAGTTATAAAAATCTATATTATTGGGCCATGAAAATACTTTGAGTAATTTGAGAAGTCAGGAGTTTAGTTCTGAACTGGTTCAAGGTACATTACAGTCATTAGTCTGTCATCTGTCCTTTATGCGATATTTGCTTCTTCTAAGGACTTAGTTTTTTAAGAACACACTGATGAAAATCTCTCAAACTGTATTACACACTTGGCACTTGGTTGCCCTCATAAGGGAACCTGCGAAGTCTCAGGGCCTAAGGCAGGAGTGTAAACATGGAGTTGGGATGGGTGTCATTGGAGATGGGCGGGGGCGGGGCAACAGGTTCCCGCTGGAGAGGATCCTGATGACCCTGCTTCCTCATTTGCCTTCCTTTCTCTCGCTATGGCTTCTCATTTCCTGTCCTTGTCAATGTTCTTGCCTTGGCAACCTTCTGTTACTCTAGTTGGATGTTGACTGAGAAATCAGGACACGAATATTCACACTGTATCTAAAACACAGGAAAATACACTCAAAGGGCAATCACAGGAACAAGAAATGTTAGCTTTAGTGCGTGGGCCCTCCATCATCCATTTTGGTGACTCTGACACCCTTGGTTAGAGCAAACATAAATGTCGACTAGTCTAGCACCCAGCACGTAGTAGGTGCTTTGTAATGTCCACAGTGAAACACACTTTCAACTCCACAAGCCCCCATTTTCTGGACTGTGCCTCATGAAGCGCAGCCTGCTGGGTGGGCAATTCCCAGGTAAGTGAGGTGTCACTCTGACAGCACTGACACCTGCTCAAAATAAATGAGCAAACGTGTATTTACAGACTCACTGCAGGCAGACAGAAATTTATTTCTTAAGGGTGTAAATTATGTTTTAATCAGACATTACAGAAAAGAGATGATAAGAATACAGTAAGCTTTCATTGAGTGCATCCTACCTGGCTGCAGAATCTTTCCCTGCTCTGGCTCTTTGGTTAATGTCCCTGTGAATCACTTGCCTTCCCGAGGTGCATCCTATCACCTTTGAGACCCGCGGAGCCATGCAGGGGGGCTGCCAGGCACCCGCCTCCCATCTCCACCTGACTAGCAATGAATTACCCAGTCGTCATGTCAAAATGATCAGCAGCTGCTCATTTCTCATTTTTGTAACTTTGGGATTTTGAATTTTTTCCTCAAATAATAAATTCCTGTGTATTTTAATAATAATAATAAATTACCTATATTTCATTAGCTCAGTAATTACTAGTTCACCAAAGAATCATAAATAAACTTCTTCATTATTGTAGGTTGAATGCTCTTAGGAATCACTCAGACTTCATTGGGTATGGAATTTAAGATTGTTTAAAGAGCTAGAATGACAGCCTGAATAGATAAAACGGGGCTGATAACAGTATTAAGTTACTTGGCCTTTAGGAACCTTTTCTAATAATGAGAACATTTGTCATGGCCCAGACTGGAGATGCAATATGAATGAAGGTGAGGGGAGCGATAATTACCTGAACATCTCTGGGCTTAACATTGTACCTGGCCCTCCACATACATTACCTACTTATTTATTACCTACTATGAACCTCTAATATCAGCATTTTTAGGTACAGGTTGGTCTCAAGTCTAAGAACATCAGCCATTACCTTTTGTTCTGCAAATAATAACAATTTACTGAGTGCCTACTATGTGCCTGGCCCTGTTCCAGACCTTGGTAAAGAACAATAGTAATAAAAACAGAAAAACTGCCCTCCTGGGCCTACATTCCGATGGAGAAGACAGATAAAATATGTATAAAAAACAGCATATGGGATGGTGATAAATGTGGTAGCAAAAAATAAAGCAGGCAAGGAGATAGAAAGTTGTCAGATGGCGGGAGTGAGTTGCAATTCTAAACTGAGTGACCAGGGAAGCCATTAGAAAGTCACCTCTGAACAAAGACCCAAGGGAGCCAAGGGACCAGTTGCTATGCAGACCCGGTGGGGAAGAATGTTCCGGGCAGAAGGCAGAGCAAGTAAAAAGTCCTAGGCTGAGAATGCTGCTGGCACATCCAAGGAACCAAAGGAAGGCCAGCGAAGAGGAGGAGCCGGTGAGCAGGGAGGAGCCTGGGTGAGAGAAGTCGCTGGGGCCAGGTGGCGGAGAGCCCCGAAGGCCACGTGACGACGTAAACTTTTATTCCGAGAAAAAAGCCACCAGGCACTGTGAGCAGAGGAGTGACATGAGCTGACATCTAGATGAGAAGTTCTCTCTGTCTACCACGGCGAGAGCAGATGGAGGACAGCAAACATGGGAGCCATGAGGCCCATGAAGAGGGCACAGCTGTAACCCATGTAGGAGTCAGGAATATGTGAAAAGGGATCAAACTCTGGAAACATTTTGCTGGTGGGGGAAACGACAGAGGCAAGGTTTTTGGCCCGAGCAACTACAATGGGGGAGGCTGCAGGAGGAGCAGATTCTGGAGGGAACAGGGATTCTGGCTTTGAACGTGGTAGGTGAGGACGGTTGAGTAGGCAGTCAACATACGAATGTGGGGTTCAAGGGAAACATCCGGACTGAAATATACATTTGAAAAAAGCCTGAAATCTACACAAGCAACACATACTACCCTGAAATGTTCCTTGCAAGGTCCTCTCAAGGAATGCTGTGGATACTGACAACCTTCGTGTCATTTAGAATCCAAAGATAATGGGAACCCATAGTGTTAAGCTATGTTAGAGATTCTGAGCTGGGCTTTTAAAATAAATTTATTTTACTAAATTTCCCCAAGAAATATTCAGTGTTGTCTTATTGGATAAATAAGAAAACTGAAGTTCAGAGAGGGCGAGTGCCTTGCCCATAAATCTAACACTAGATTTGACCCAAGCCTTCAAGATCCCCAGACCGGAGTGAGTCTCATGCCAGGCACTTTGCTTTTGCTGCATGACTCTGAGGCCAGGCCCCTTCAGCAACAGAAGAAGCTACCACCTTCCGCCCACAATTTGATCCACACGGCTAGTTACCTGGCAGCTCACTCACCACATTCAGCAGCATGATGATGCAGAAGTTGATGCACACGGCAGTCCCTGTGGTTGCGACCTGAGAGTTATTCCTAATTAACGCCCACTTGAAGGCGGCAAAAGTGCTGACGGTCACGACCCGGTAAATGACGATCCCAAACACAGCAGCGATCACCACGCAGATCTGGCAGGAAGATGGAGGAGACCCGGTGAGCACCGTGTGGGTGTGTTGCAGGAATGTTCCACCACCTGGAAAACCCTCTGATGACCAAAGAAAATAAAGCAACGGTGGTCCTGACTCAAGAAGGCACAATACAACGCATAGTTTCCATTGTGGTTAATAGTTTCTCTCGTCTGTATGTAAGTGAAATAAGTCAGAGAGAGACAACTGCCATGTGATTGACTCATGGGTGGAAGCTAAAAGTAGAGACCTTAGCCTACTTAGTTATCAAACACAAGATCTTAGAGCTGGGCCTTCAGAAGGCCTTTGCTGACTTAGAGATTTCTTTCTTCACAGAAGCATGCCTCTGTTTTATACAAACTCTATTTCTGACTTAAAGTGAGTGATGCTCTAAAAACTTGAGCCCAAATCCTCACCAGAACTGGCCAAGTTATTATTATATAGTAATAATAATCAACAAAGAAATGGAAAACTGCCCATGTCTTAATCCTGGGGCGGTTGACAGGGAACTAGGTGAAATCCAAGACGGATTTCACACAGGGTGGCAATGTGATAGAATGGGCAGCTTCCTGGACTTGGAAGTCAGGCCTGAGTTCTGGCTCAGCTCCACCTAGCAGTGTGACCTTGGACAAGTAGCCTGCCTTCTCCATGGCTTCCGTCTCCTAAGTTCCAGGTTCCTCGTCTACGTCTGTAAGTCTTCTTGTGAGAAACAAAAACCAGGACAGTAACTTTGCACATACTTAGAGAAGGCACAGCACGGCACAACTGCTTACAGACGGTCTCTGTAGGAGGGCACGGCTCCAAACGTAGATCTGAGTGGAGGGGCTCTTGGGCTCGCAACCCACCCTTCCACTTCCCCAGTTTCTTTCTGGCTAAAGGGGGTGGGCTGTCTGGATCTGCTGTAGACTTGTTCTTCCCACTCTACTGACCTAGGAGGTGCACATATGTGGACACTTGCCATTTGAAAAGATGAAAGGAGAATCCTTACTATTCCTTGTAGCTCTAAAGTAACATTTCTGAAAAATTTGCATTTGTTTTGTTCAGTAGTTAAGGCTCAGAGTTCATCACCAAATGACTTCTTTTTAGGAAAAGCTGACAAACCAGCTTCAAATTAGTATTTTTCAAACTGATATTACCGTCAGTGAGTCTGGAAATCAACTTTAGGTGGTTATAAAAAAAGTTTATAATAAAACAGCAAAACATCAGACTATATTAAACATTAAAAAAGACTATAGCCTGGCTGATACAGCTCAGTGGATTGAGCACAGGCCTGTGAACCAAAGGGTCACAGGTTTGATTCCCAGTCAGGGCACGTGCCTGGGTTGCAGGCCAGGTCCCCAGAAGGGGCCATGGGAGCGGCAGCCACACACAGATGTTTCTCTCCCTCTCTTTCTTCTCCCCTCTCTAAAAATAAATAACTAAATAAAAATCTTTTTTAAAAATAAAAAAGACTAATAAAGCATAAAAATGCAGTTTATTACTTACGGTAAAGGTGAGCATTTTTTAGTTACTCTATTTAGGTTTATATATCTATTTGCAAAGCATAGCTGGGTCATGACAGAGAATGTGTTTCTTACATGGACGTGGTAAAAAAAAAATGTTTGGGAAACACTGCTGCCAGTCCTGTTTCATGTTTTTAGTTGCTTTCAGCATGGCATAGATAAATTGAAAGAATACCGGATTAAAGTAGAGCAACTGAGCTCTTGGCAGTTTACTGGCTGTTTAGTGGCTGCCAAGTTCTGGACAAGCCTTTAACCTTTGGAGTCTCAGTTGCTCCATCTCTAATACAGGGACAATGTCCCTACATTAGCTCACCGAGTTGTTGCGAGAATCACATAACAGAGCATGAAAAAACATCTTTTGTAAAACTGCAAATGCCTGACATGATTATTGTTGCTACCATGCTCCAAGTTCATACATTATAAAGCAATTCAAAGAGTTTTGTAAAAATGTTCCCAACCATAAAAAATATTCCTGATGCAGAAACAATCAGTCGGCTGCATTTATCTGCAAATGCTTGGTATGGTTCTGGCTTTCCCGAAATGGGATTCATCCGCTCTTTCTTGGAATACTTGGCTTCGAACTGGGGTCGTATTTCTTCCTAAAAAACAAGCAGGCACATTTTTTTTTATGCTCTGAACAGGAACACACACAATAAGAGAAATCATTTACCTCCCAGGAAAACTGAATCAATGGCTGCCACATCACCCAACCAAGGAGGTGGGCTTGAGACCTGGGTATAGACGTTTGGAAACTGGCCACTTGAAGAAAAATCGAAAGAAAGATGATCTAGCCTCATTATCATCAAGGCGATGCAATTTATAGTTAAATGTCTGTTATTAAACTGTGCTTGAAGAAAGAAACTGAGAGTGAGAAATCGGACCACCTGTTCCATCTCCAGTAGTTTGAAACAACTAAAACTATTTTACTTTCATTACCAGGAAATGATTTGAACATAAGGACAAATCTGAACAGCAAAATGTTTAGAATTCATTTTGTGAGTTATAATGACAATATGATTCTAAGTATTCTTCAATCTTTGTTTTTCCATTTTGTTTTTTATTTAGGCAGCTGAAAACATAACGTCTCTATTTTTTTTCAGTAAGCTCATATAGGAGTCATTCACATTAACCACTAATTTTAAATGTTCTTAAGTGGCATTGAAAACAAAGTAAATGCCTTTCAAATCCAGCTAAAAATCACAGCTCCTCCAACTCTAAATCAATCTGAGATTTTATTCTAATGATTGGGGCCCCATCCAATGTGAAAATCTTCTGAGTAAAAAGCAATTATTGGATTACGAAAAGGTAATCAGCCAGAGGGTACGCTGAAGTGGTTAATTGAGTGTGCATGTATGTGAGACTATTTGAGTGTCTTGGAGGAAGAGAGAAGACGAGTTGGAAATGCTGGAGAAGTGGAGTTAATGCTCAAGACCCTGATGAAGGTCCTGGCAGACCGGGAAGCAGCCGCTGAGAGAAGAGGGGTCGTGGAGAACGGCTGCAGCCTGTGGAGCAGGAGGCACACAGCCCGGCTCCGGCTGCAGGGTCAGCCCAACGCTGGACTTCCCTCGGGGGCTGGTAATGGGGAACGTCAGGGGAGGACACAGTTAGAAACGGCTTCTGCCTCCTGTCCTTTATTTTAGGCAGTTACACTTGAGCATTTACACAGCACAGACCTCGAATCTTCTGCTTCTTTGGGAAACTTTCAATTTATGGGGCTGTGTCATCAAGAGTTGCTGAGTTAATCATCGAGGAACTGAGGCCAATCACGGAGCCAGGCCCGTCTTCCTGGGTCTTATGGGCTGAATCGTGTCCCCCACATGAATGTTTATATTGAAGTCCTGATGCCCAATACATCGGAATGTGATTGTATTTGGAGACAGGGCCTTTGCAGAGGTAATTAAGTTACAAAGAGGTCAGCAGGGGAGCCCCTAAACCCACATGACGAGTGTTCTTATAAGAAGAGGAAATTTAGAGACACAAAGAGAGTGAAAAGGCCCCAGGAGTAGATGGGCATCTACAAGCCAAGGGGAGGGGCCTGGGACAGAGCCTTCCCTCACAGCCAGAAGAAACCAACTCTGTCAATACCTTGATCTCAGATTTGCAGCCTCCAGAACTGTGAGACAACACACTTCTGTTGTTTAAGCCACCAGGACAGTGGTACTTTGTTATAGCAGCCCCGGCACACTAACACCCTGGGTTACCCTGAAAGAGGCACACAGCATGTCTGGGCATTTCTGCACCGCAAGCTGAGAGGTGCAGGCTGGAAGAGGCAGTTCTGCAATGACTCTCAGACTGAGAACTGGGACCTCGCAGGGCTACTGAGGCCGGCTCCTGCACCAGCGTGTGAAAGAACAGTTCAAGCTCTTTCATGGGGCTGGGAGACAGAGGGCTCCAAGGGGTGCCCTTGTAAACACTTACAAACAGTGTTTATCCTAATGGTCCCCACATCTTGGACCCCCCAAAAGTGCCAACAGCCACTTTTAGACTGCTTTTGTCAATGTTACTGAAATAATGCTACACTGTATAGCTGAAAGAAGACAATTTAGAAACACTTCTTCTCTTTAGAAAGGAAAAGTCCAAAGGTGAAATAGTTTGTCTCAGATGACATAATTACTTAGTGGTAACTCAAATTCTCAGGGAAAAGCATTTTCCATCCCATTTGAAAGTCACCGACATGAACACACGTGACAAAGAGCAGGGCAGCTTCCCCCAGGAGGAAGTCCCAAACGCAGCCTGGATGTGGCCCACAGATGCCAGTCACCTGGGCAGCCGCTTCAAACTCAGGCATCCTTGTCTGGGGAATGCTCACCAAAGCATGATAGAGGCCTTATCAAAGGATCAGGGACCGCTGAGAACCCCAGGATTCCTGCCAGGTCTAAGACTGCCCAATTTGTGTGCATGGGCATGAGGAGGAAAGGCCGCCGGCCATGAGGTGTGATTTAAAGAAAAGACAGACAAAAATACCTCTCAAAATCAGCTCCCCCACTAAACTGACCACAGGGCTGAAATTCTCATTTATGTTTCTAGAATATTCTTTTCAATAGGTAAAAATCTATGTGCATGAAAGGAAAACACCCATTCATGCCCATCTCCACATTATATATGATTAGTTTATCTGATTTACTAGCACAGCAAGACTCTTAGGAAATGGGACTTGGGAGGTAAAAGACAATGAAGGAGAGGAAGGAAAGAGGAGTTTAAGCCTGGATCGACTGACAAGGGAAGTCGGGTCCCTGTGTGGTGACCAAGATGAGCATGAGCACTTGAGAGACTTCTGACGGGGCTGGGGCAAGAAGAGAGAACAAGACCAGAGCCAGGTTAGGAGAGGGCACAGTGCCCTGGCCTAGAACAAGAGAGAAAAAGAACTGGGAAACGTGTGAGACAGGGAGTCTGAAGGATGGAGGTGACTTCTCCTTGACAGCTTTCTCTAGAGCTGGCCCTGCGTTTATCCACATCCATCAGGGAGGCTGCGTAAACAGTAGTTCCTCCAGCATTTCCCACTTGGGGTGATACTTCTGGGTTTGTGCACATCGGGGCACTGCCCGGGTTCCTGGAAAGCTCCGGACACATTTCTGGGAGCAGTTCTCTTATGAGTTCTCCTTCTATGTGCCCAGGGCTGTAAAACTATTACCCTCCTTCTGCTAAGGTAAAGAAATGGAGGATATTTAAGAAAACTAAACAAATCTCACAGCCAGTCTTTTGGATGCTTCTACATAAAAGTAAAATGATTTACTTAGCTATGGATTTCATTCCACTAAAGCCATCAAAATGTCTTTTTCTAAATCTGCTAGTAGTTTTATACTGCTTGGAGTTTTCTGTAAAAACAGATACTAAAAATGCTTTATGAGTAAACCTGACTTCTGTCACAGAGCAGGGAGTGGTAACTAAAGGGGATTGTGTATTTCTTGGTGATTCGCTTTTTAAAAAATTCTGAAGTAAACGATACAAACCTCCTCTTCTTCCCAGTCTATCAAATCCCAGTCATAGGCAATTACTGCTCTTCGTCTTTTCCAAAACTCCAGGAAGACTGTTGCTGCAACAAACATAGAAAGACATGAACATTTCACAACCAGGCAATGCCATTAACTGTCACTAAATCATGAAGCCACTGCAAAAAAAAAATAATGACAGCTGTTTAGAAGCGTCCTTGAATGTTGGAACTTCCAGCTAAACTCAACAATGTGAGCAGGAATGTTTTCTGAGAATTACTAAGCTTGTGTCATGCATAATGAAAAATTAGACATTTCATGTAGAACTAAATTAAGTTTATCAGCAGTTGAGGCAGAACAGATTCATAAGAATGACAAACCCCCAGGGTGTCAGGACACAGAGAACTAGGTTACTAACAGCTCTCTAATCGACAGAGTATGTATTTTTAAAATCGGGAGGCAGGCAGGGGCAGAGGCAAAAATAAAACTTAGCAGTATTTGATTGGCAGTGATCACTTGTTCCCCAAAACCTGCTCACAGCAAATATCTATGTAAAAAAAAAAAAAATATATATATATATATATATATATATATATATATATATATTTTTTTTTACTATTTCACTGAAGGAAGCTATTTTACTGGAGGAAGCAATCCTAGTGCTTCTCTTTTGCTACAAACCACCTCTATATTGTCACATCGGAGGTGAATGTGTATAAATTCTTTAAGGACCTTTTCCAACAGGTGCTGGCCTCCCCACCCTCGGAAATATGAAGGTTATCCTCTGTTGTAGACCGCTCTGCCTAGTTTTAGGAATTGTATCTCTACCCCTTGTGGCTAAGGGCGAGAGACGACCTTTGGAATGTGAGCCACAGGAGACAAAGCCTGTCTCTGGTAGCAAACGCTGCCTCAGTTCCTCTCCCTGCCCCCAGAGCTTGGTCAGAAGTCAATGATGGGTAAGACCCCTCACAGCGGGGGGCAACCTAAGCCAGACTCGATCACCTGGGAGGCCTTCATGGAAGGATTTGGGGGGCTGCAACAAAGAGCAATGGACTCCCCCCCCCCGCCCATTGTCAAAGCCTGAATCCCCAAGTCCTCTGGGAAAAGCACTTTCTGGCTCTAATTCCCTTAAGCCTGAATACCTGTTGGAGAGAGGTGCAGCTCCTTGCCTTGCTAGAGCGCGTCCTGAGGAAAAATCTGGCATCACAAAGACTTGTTGATAAACCTGTGAAATCTGCTCTGCTAAGAGTGCTTTCATTCATATGATAAGGGTCGGAGAGGAAGTGAGTATGTTTCCCAAAGTTTCTGCAACTCTCTTCCTGACAGACACTGACTCAGACTCTGAAGCCCTCAGATTTCTTTGAAATGTTATCTACTGTTTGATCCTTGCTGCCCTGTATTCTTGTGTATTACAACCCGATAAAAGGCTATGGAGCAGGGCGCTCGGGGGCCTTTGTCTCCCCTGAGAAACTGGCCACAGCCCACTCCTCCTCCCCAAACAGATTTCATCTTCTCTCAGCCATATTTATTCATTCACGCATGTCTGTGGCACCAGGGGGGACTCGAGAAAGAAGTCGCCCCCACAATCCTCACCCAGAGGAAGTAACTTTCTACTCAATTATATTTAAAACATCTACCCAAATGAATTATTGAGTACTATACAATGACAGAAAAAAAAATGATCGAGACACAGTCTCACTGCCTTGCAAGTCACAAGCCAAATGAGGGATGCACACACATGTGGACATGCACACACATGTGGACACGCACACTTGGAGGACAACTGTAGCCGAGGATGTCACAGGGACACCACAGGAGACAGAATCGGTGAGTCTCTCTCTGTTGGGCCTTACTGTGTACTTAGACTGACAGAGGCAAAACACATGTCATATATTTGGAGTTAGTTTCATGAGCAAAGGGAAACGTCCAAGTTACCGTTCCAAAGAAAGGAAACTACTCTCTTCTTTCCTGTGCTGCCTTGTTTTCATACCATCTCTTCATTCATCACATTCAGACATAGAACATATATTTTTATTTTTTAAACATTTTATTTATTTACTTTTAGAGAGTGGGCAAAGGGGAGAGAGAGAGGGAGAGAAACATCAGTGTGTGGTTGCCTCTTGCACACCCCATACTGGGGGCCTGGCCTGCAACCCAGGCATGTGCCCTGACTGGGAATCAAACTGGCAACCCTTTCGTTCACAGCCCATGCTCAACCCACTGAGCTACACTAGCCAGGGCCGGAACATATATTTTTAAAACACGTAACTGGAAAGGTAAATGAGGGTAACAATTAAGAGCTCACTGGCATGTGACCTAAACATTCATTCCTAGGTCTTAAATCTAGTTCCGTCTGAATGCCAATGTTGAAAATGATCTGAAAATTCTAAGCTTCCCCTCCAAACTTTAGAATAAACTCCTCTTGTGGCAAGCTCTGACCTGCACTGACATTAGGTTACTTGCTTTGCAGGCTGGTACTCAGTCCACTGAGCCACAGCAGCCAGGGCTAACATTAGGTTACTAATAGTCTGCATTATCCCTCTAAGTGAGGACAGTCATACATTGAAAGCAGCTATATCAATGTATTTGAATTTGGGGTCCTTCCCAGACCTCCTGCGGTACTATATAATATATGGTACATTTACCATAAAGCCTTTCTAAAATTTTAAAAATTCAGAGTAGTTGTTAAGAAAGCCATGCCTAAAATAATCAAGTATTAATTACTTTTTAAAATATCCTTACCTGAGGATGTTTTTTATTGATTTTTAGAGAGAGAGAGATGTGAGAAACACTGACTAGTGGTCTCCTGCACATGCCCTGACTGGAGATCAAACCTACAACCCAGGCATGTGCCCTGACCGGGAACTCAACCTGCCGCACGGTGTACAGGACCACGCTCCAACCAACTGAGCCACGGGGCCAGGGCAAGTGCTTATTTCCTGAAGAGGGAAGTTAAAATAATGGATATCTGCAGAGGTTAATAGAAGTGCCAACACTAAGAAGCCATTTTTCACTGGAGTCCTTCCTGTGTGTCTTGTTGCGTCTAGGGTCCCCAAGACCACCGCCAGGTTCGACGATTTATGAGGAGGACTCACTCAGAGTATGGTGGTACTTGTGGCTAAGATTTATTACAGTGAAAGTACATAAAGTAAAATAAGCAAAGAAAAAAGGCAAGTCCCACCCCTCACCACGCACTCTGTCACAGGTTGAATCATGTCCCCACCTGCCAAAAGAGAGGCTGATGTCCTAAGCTCCAACCTCAGAACGTGACCTGACTTGGAAATAAAGTAACTGCAGACTTACTAGTTAAAAGTTCATACTGAGTGGGGTGGGCCCTTAGTACGATAGGATTAGTGTCCTTAAAAGAAGACAGCCACGTGAAGGCACAGACGCACAGGGAGGATGCAGACGAGGATGGGAGTGGAGACTGGAGTGATGCACCTGGGATCGCTGGCTGTCACATGCAGCCAGGCGAGAGGACTGGAATAGATCCCCCCTCAGAGCCATCCAACCCTGTTGTCACCTTGAGTTTGGACTTCTACCCTCCAGAACCATGAAAGAACAAATTTCAGTTGTTTGGAGCTCCCCAGTTTGTGATGTTTTGTTACAGCGCCCCCACGAGACTAACGCGCACTCTGTCTCTACCGCACTGAACAGCCTTTCCTTTCCGAGCTTTGCCCACATTACTCTCGACTCTGAGTGTTAGCTGCGCCTTTTTCCACCCCACTCCTTTCCCTAGAAGATGTAACACTTGGTTCCAATGTCTGGTCTGTTCTGCTTTTCTTTTTTGACTCAGGAAGTTGGCACACAGACCCTCACTGTCCTATTGTAAACAGGACTTAACACCTCATATTATAATTACTGTATTATAGAACTAATTATGTTCTAAAAAATAAAGTCTATTTTAAAAAAATAGCCTAAGTATCTAGAAATAGAAGGCCAATGATTATAAAAGTTATTTTAAAAACATGAGACATACTTCATTCACAAATGACTGACAGGACCATATACAGAATCTTTGAATTTGCATCATAGTCTTGTTATTGATTAGAGAGCTCTGAGAGCCTTGGTGTGTTTGTTTACTAGGGGGAATTTAATTGTGGGCAACAATGAAAGTGTGGAAAAAAACAGGGGAATGAGAACCACCCCCCCCAAATGAAGAACTAAGGGAAACAATCTGCTTTCTGACAAGTCTCTACCAACACCTAGTTCACCAATGACTTTTTTTTTTGCCTAGGAAAAAAAGTTAAATTAGGTCATAATTGCATTGTCCTCTGAATCTTTCTGAGCAAAAATGAGCACTGAGGAGACAGTCACACTGTGGTTCCAGCCCAAGGCCCACAGTGGACCTCGAGGGTCCCCCGGAGGCTCTGCCATCACAGGCATGTGGACACGAACGGAGGTAGGGGACCCCACACTAAGGCTCCCCCATCTGCTACAGACAGCTTCCAAATGGAGCCTTGTTTTCCCCTCTGGTGAACTCATAAAATAAAAGGCAACAAAACAAACACCCAAACCCATTACTTCCAAGGTCCTGTAAACCACTTATATCTGTTCTCAACATCTCCGTATGTAGCAATTTCTCAAAAATAGTTTGTTTTTCTAAATGTTGCAACTTGTCAATCAGAAAGGATGACCCTGAGACCATTAAACAGGACTCCACCAGGACTGACATACTTTCACAGAACATCGGCGTTGCAAAGCAGTACGCATGGGGCTCAAAATGAGCCTAAGAGTCCTTTACCTTCGAGTTCAGATCTCTAGGCAGAAGCAGGGTTGCAAACAGTATCTGAACCTAGGAGTAGAGTACAGGAGCTGAGACTTGCCTGTTTAACTCTTGGCTTTGTCACTTTCTAGCTACTGCCTCAGTTTCCTCACCTATCCTGTGGAGGCAGTAAGAGTACTTAGTACCTTCTTCAAAGGTTGCTGTAAAGGTAAACTGAGATGATACTATACAATGTTTATCACAGTTCCAACACACAGGAAGCCCTCAATTAGTGCATGCTACTATTGTAACATTATTACTGGCCACTCCAGGTTTCTGCAGAAGGCATAGCCCTGTCTACAAAGAAGCACTTGGGAACGTGCTTTTCTCATTCTTTTCTCATTCTTTTCCTGGGAACGATATAAGATTTCAGCAGTAAGTTGTCAACTAAAACAAAGCAATTCAGAGGATAAATTATTCTAGGCTTGCATTGCCTGGAGTGAACCTAAAATGTCCCCCTGTGCCCAAAGGTTATTACAAAGCATCTGTCAGAGTCTTACTGAGTTACCCTCCAAGGCACAGGAACTGTTGAACATCCAATCCACCTACTCGCAGCCTCGGAAGCTCCTCAACTCTATCCTACAGGCAGCCACCACCAATCTATGAGCTGAGGTTGGCAGGGATAAAATAAAACCTATTTATGATGCCCAGCATAAGACGTCCCAGCTTGCAAGGAAGGGATGCCATCCCCTTTGTGACAGTGGTACTGTGTGAGGGGTGCAGGAGATGACAGCCTCTGGCTTATAGGCCAATGTCACTGCACCAGAACTTTACTCCTATATATACTCTCAGAGGGAAGGAACACTGTGGGAGAAGAAAACATTGCTTCAGTTAAAGTATATCTAAAGTGGGTGAAATATTAAAGTGGGTAAAGGGAGTTTTGTATATTAATTCTTCCAGAATACAACCCTCTCTACGGAAGCATTAACTCATTACACAGCAGACCAGTAGCCCAAAGCAGAGCTTCCCAGTGAGAGGACAGGTATCGGCTACAGGTCTGCAAGAGGCAATACTTGCTTCAGGCCTTGGGGTGGCTAGGATGGGGGTCCTCAGCAGTCTTACCCCAGGCCCTGAGCAGGCTCCTTCATGTGCATCAGTACACTGTGCAAATATTATCATTCTCTGTGTGTTATGGCTTGGAAAGGTTTGAGAACCACTGGTTTAAGAAGTAAACATATTTTTAAAAGTCTCCTCACTCATAATCATGGCAAAGTGTAAGCACTGGATGGTTTATTATACTAACAATACTAACTGATTACTGATACTAACATGGTCTAGAAAAACTAATACATAGTCATGATCCAAGAGCTCGACCCAGTAACCAAAACTCTGTTAATGATTAGCTTCTTCTGTTTGCAAGGGAAAGAGATGCATGAATAGTGAGGGCTTTCTGCAAGGCCCACCAAGAAAGGCAGGAATCGCATGGGAAGGAACACTAGGCTTCTTCAGAGACAGGGTCTGGGAGCCAGCAGCTGGAGAGACCTTAGTCACAAGAGACCTGGTTTTCACGCGGACAACCCCCTAATAGCACGGCTTGGCTACACTCTCCCTTTGCTTCTCTTTGGGGCACTGTCCCATGTTTTCTCCCAGTTGTCTACAAGTTGTCTTCTGCACGCAGTATCTCGTATCTTTTCCACTAGTTCTGTGTTTCTGCTTATTTGTAGGTTCTGATTTCTCATCACTTCAGCCTTCTCATAAATCTTCCTGTCCCAACCTCTCTCCTCCTCCCTCACGCCCTCTCTGCATCTTTCCCTGTTGGCTCCTACTGCCAATTCTCTGTCTCCGTCCTCGTTTTCCAATCAGCATTCTTAAAATTGCAAAATCTCAGGTTGTCCCAGGCCATTCACTAACCCACAGTTTAACTGATCTTGGGTGAGATACCCACTGGCTGAAAGGAGCTAGAGTCACAGAAATCAAAACACACCCCTTTAGCAGAGCTGTGGTGGGCGGGGCGATTTTCCTTTGATGGTCTCTAGGTAGGTCAGCCTCCTCAAGAGAGCAATGTTTTATATTTCCGCTTGTCAAAGAGCATTTAAACATTTATCTCATAAACAAATCTTTTTGGTAATTTCCTTTTCCCATCCATCCATCCACCAAATACTAACCCCTGTGTCTTTAGAAGAAATGCATAAGGTCTCCAGTAACAATAATGGTCCTCGAACAATAATGAACCTCCAGGGAAACATAAATTACATATACATGTCATTATAACTTCCCCCCCCCAAATGATATAAACCAAGTAGTATGAAAGTTCAAAGAAGAAAGACATCTAGCTAAGAGCAGAGGACGTCTCAGCTGGGCCCTGAAAGATGGGGAAGACTCTGACATTTATCCTACACCGAAGGAACAACATGATGAGCCTAAGCCTCAAATTAGTAGATCTTGGTAACATCAGAATTCAGACTTGGTATTTTAAATTCTAGAAAAAAAAATACATAATCATTGAAAAATTTCAAATCAAACTGAAAAGTGTAAAAAATGTGTCCCTCATCACTATTCACCCTTACCCTCCTAACGAGTTCTCCCCTCCAAAGATAACCAGCATTCACTGTTCACTATGAGTCAGCCCAGACTCTTTTCTATACCATTAAATTAAAGCTTTATCATTACCTTACAAAGAAGTGGGTTAAGTAATTCTTTAAGTGAAACTTCCATCGCACCTGTTATTATGGGGCTGTTAGCTTAAACTTACATAAAAGGACTCGATTCAGCCTTTTAAGCAGCTCTTGTTTATAGGGGGTTGTTTTGACCAGAATTGGAAGAATGTCAGAGGTGGGTACTCATACACTGGCCTGAGGAAAAGATCCGATGCACCATTGAAAGTCCTATATATCCTGAGATGGATATTCAGATCTCATCATACCTTTCAATGTACCGTAAGTTTTATGTTTGTCTCCAACAGAAGGTAAATTTTATTCTAATAATGGAATGCTGATAAAATTATTGAAGGTTTAAGAAAAGAGAAATTAGAAATCTTTCTCTTCTACAGCATCGCTTTTTAAACAAGCCAAATGAATTCGTTATCAGCTTGTGTCTAATAGCACAGGGCCTTGACTGACTTGAGCTTCTTCCTTTCACATCCAAAGTCAGATTTTTAAAGGAACATATCACAGAGCATACAAGGTGAACGCAAGTTATATGGATGTTGAGCACTTACCCCAGACGGCCATGAAAACAGCAAAGAAGACAGTGGCTCCGTTGTCAAAAAGGTGGGTGACCTGGGAACATGATGAGTCACAGTTAAATAACTTCTTATATGCTAGATTATAATTCACATGTTTTTTCAAGTTCTAGAAAAATAGATGTGATGATACAATAAATTTTCCTGGGTTTCTTTGGAAGATATTCTTTTTGTATCAATCAAGAAGTGAATTCCTCTAAATGTGAACTAGTTTGGATATGGAAGAGAGACTTTTTTCCCTTTATGTGGGTATCAGCTAGTTGTACATTTATCAGCAGCCCCAATAGTGCTACTAAGAATTTCCATTTTTGTACTATAAAACATATTATATGTTCACATATACACATGAAAATATTTAAAACCAGGTAGGTATTATTGTTGCTGCTTTAAAAGTTTCTGATTTCCCAAGCACTCTTTTTAATGCCTCATTTATTCACTTTGAAAACATCACCACTGTGCTTGTGCTTGCGTAGTTTTGGGCAAGCATTTTCTGGGCTACCCTCTGGCTTTCATCATTATAAAGAGGAGAGAGCAGACCATTAACATAATCTACTTCCACCTGTATTAAATCCTTGGGTAATCACTATATTTACCCATTACATATAACACAAAGACAGCTAGCAACTACTCTGCTGTTAGAATAATATATTCTATCTCAAACTCTACAGCAGAAAGCAAAGATAATCTTGCTGCAAAACCGCCAAGCTCATTTCTGCCTCCAGGGTAAATCACACCAATATTGTGCCAAATTGAAATGATGACGGATGTGTTCATAAAGCATAATTTGGGGGAGATGCTTTATAGTTTGCTATAAAGTATACTTTACTGTCCTTTGGAGAATGTGCCAAGCATAAACAGATCTTTTCCTGCTATATCAGAATGTGCAGTACTTCAAAATTTTCCAATGGTTTATGCTTTCTCTTTTTCATGAACACAGGAGAGAAGGCATCATTCAAACATCTAATGTGAGACGTAAGTCTAAAGCCCATTACTTCATATGGCGGGGGAGTGTTAAGCAGCACATCGGCACTCAGCATCCAAGCAAGCCTGACAGTCCCAGGGGCTTGCGGTTGGTGTGGCCTCCCCTTTAGGCTCTTCACTGGGAGCTGGTAGGAGCTGTAGCTGGTGCTGCCAGGGTAGATTCTGGAATGGGTTGTGGGTCATTACTGTGGGTTGCTCAGATCAGTTTTCCTCCCTTCTCCAGGTTACAGATCTCGCTCATGCAGGTCACCAGGGAGAACCTCACTCAAAGAGAACCACTATGAGTCCTTCCCTGCAGCTGGTAAGCCAACATTTGGAGAGAGACATTTTTCTGCTGCAGTTAACAATTTGAGAACAGGTGAATCAGGAGGGTAGTGAGTTAACAGGGACTTCTGGTTCCCACTTAGACGGTGAGGTAGCATAAGCGGATGGCTCCTCCTGCCAAAGTCAACCCTGGAGAAGCAAGGTAGTCGATTCTGGCAACTAAGAAAACACGAAAACAAACACCCAGAGAAACTCCAGGAGGGATGGAAGGTTGCCTTGAACTGGTGTGTATGTGTGAGTGAGTGTGAAGAGTGGGGCAGAGAGAGAGAGATGGTAGGGTGTGGAGACAGTTAAGTAGCAGGGTGAGAGCATAAGTTCAAGAAATACCCAAGTTCTATTTCAGTCTCTCCCTCAAGGGTCACTGCATAATTAAATTTTCCAGCCCTCAGAAATCTGCCGTAGCAGGCCAAACTGGCGTTCCTGGGATAATATCGGGGTCGCTCAGAGCCCTGCCTGGCTGAGCAGATGATGACAGTAGGTGCTGCCTGGACTGCTGCCCTCAGGTCTTCACTTCTCAGGGCGCTCCCTCTCCAACCCCAGGCCGGTAGATTACAATCAAGGGAGACACCTCCTCCAGGGCTCCTCTCTCCTTAAAAGATGGGCTTAAAAATGCAACTCCTACCAGAAATGTCCTCTGGAACAGTGACAACACACAGTGATGCCTGGGACACATTGGCCTCTCTTCTCTGTAGAGTCACCAGGATGGATGACCTAGAACCTGGCCTCTGACCTTTACCCAAAGTGCTTGTTACTTCCACAGGACAAGCATCCACAGGCCAAAATTATGGAATATCTACAGAAGACAGCTACCTCCCCAAAATTTGAAACTCAGAGATACAGACCTTCTGAAACAGAAGGAAGGTATAAGCTTGGGGCTATGGCAGTCAGTAGCCACCTTCCCTATCATGTGAAGAACCTGTCTGCAAATGATCACACAGACAGGTGGCCAGAGAGCGACACCTGGTGGCCTGAAGGACCAGTTCTAGCCCACGAAGCCCTTGGGCTCAGACAGTGTGAACTACTCCAGTGTCTTTTTCAGGGAAATGAGCCAGTCAGTCCCCTTCTGCTTAAGTCAGTTAAAATTGGATGTCTGACCCTTGCAAATTCAAGGGTCAGGGAGAAAACTTTCCCGATCAGCAGAGCAGCCATGGATTAAATAGGATCTGGACTCTGATTTGATTCCAATGTCCTCAGTTCCAGGGAATCAGTCTGGCATTTTTGATATTTTTTTAAATGTAAGTCTGCATAACTTCAATTCTGTCATTCTGAGGCTTTTTAGACTTCCTTTTACTAAGTTTCTAGGAATGGCCAAACCTAAAATCCTAACCTAACTTAATCTAAAACATCCTGTGACTCAGCATGGCACAATGACAAGTTTGGTAGTCAGATAAGCAAGGTACAGCCACCTACTGCTGTGTGGTCACAGGTGAATAATTTTTTGCCTCTGAGCAAAATGGGAATAATAACATCAAGGCTTAAAATCTCTATGAGAATTAGAATAAATGTAGGTTGCCTAGCTGTATTTATAGCTATAGCCTAGCTATTATCATGTAATTTTTGTTCTAGATGTTATATCCAGTAGGGTATCTGCCCAAAGAAGCCCCTATAAAATCTGATGATCCTTTTAAGGAATTATCCTGGATCCCCTAAAGAGAGAACTTCACTGAAGGCATGTGTTTCCATGTAAAAAACAAAGAAACACCACCACCACCAACTGGGTCTCTGAGATTCCCCAGAAGTAGAATTTTTGCACCCAAATCATCCAGGCTTAACTCATGATCCATAAACAGAAATTAAGTTGTTGACTAAACTCTTTTGATCCTTATTAAAATCTATTTTTTCCCTAGCTCACTCTGTTTGTCCTCATCTACTCAGGTCTATTTGTATGTTCTTCAAAGGTAGGGAGACTATTTTGTGCTTTTTTGGTTCCTCACTGCATATAACAAGATCCCAAGTCTTTTTAAAATCACAGCTGGCTGCTGTGGCTTGGGCTCTGCACAGACTGGCCACCTGCAGTGTGAAAGACATGGCGGATGGGCGGGCTCCTGGGCTGCCTGTCAAGTGTTCTCTCATTTCTAAGGAACAAAACTCTGGCATGCCAGGAGCATAATTAGATAACTCCACACTGCAGTGATCACAGAGGTTCAAGGAAATCTGCCAACCCCTTTCATATCTGGGATCTGGAAAGGTTAACAGGCAGTAGGTCTTGGAAAAGTCTTCATCAACCCACACTTCCGCCATTGCTACACATTAGTGACAATGCCCCTAAGTAAAACACCATAGGAATTTTGATTAAAATGCCCAAAATTGTAACAGAGAAAGGCACAGAATGAGAAAGGGAGATGCAATAACCCATCATAGACATAATGGTGCTGTTTCTTTGTTTCGAAACACCTTCACGGGTACTATCTCTGGTCCTCAGGACATGTCATGGGACAGAGAGGGCAGGTGTGCATTTCGGAGATGCGAAAGCTTAGCCTCAGAGAGGCTGTACCTGTGCAGGGTCAAGGAGGTAAAAGTAGCTGAATGAGCCTTGAATCTAACTCTTTTTGCCAATAATGGTGATGAAAGAGGAGGAAAATGATGGCAGCTCTTATGTACTGATACCTTACCATTTACCAGGTACCCTGGTACCTCAGTATATGTCTTGTAACAATTAGGTGAAACAACCATAATGTTCTCCACTTTACAAATGAGAAAACTGAAGCTCAGGGAGGTTAAATAACTTGTTCCTTAAACTGACAAGTGGTGAAGAGCAGAGTCAGGATATGAACTTTTCTCTGACCTTTAACAACTGTGATTTTTGCACTCTGCAAGCTGCAGCTTCTTGTGATGACAATTAGAGCCAATATATTTAATATACATATATGGTAAAAAAAGATAGCTGAATTATAATATTGAGTGATGGGGGTAAGTCTATCCTACAACATGAACTTGAGGATCAAAGACCAGAAATGACAGAGAGAGTATGCCTAGCTTCTGTTCCTCAGGAAGGTGTATGTAAAAGTCAAGCAACCTTTAATGCTGCCTATTAGAAATTACCTTGGCATAAACGCAGCTGTCTGACAGCCTCATGAATGGACAGTATTTATCGCACACAGGACACATGATGATATCTGTAGCTTGGCAGACTTCTTTACTGGAAAAGAGAACAGGGATGGACATTTTTGACGACATAAGAGCATTTTCCCCTGTCCCACCAATGACATGAAAATATTCAACCAGTTAATACGATTCAGTAAATTTCATTTTTGTACTCCAAAGCATCTTAGCCTCATCTGTTATTAACATAAGTTCCTGCACAATTTAATAATTCAATAAACCTCCTTATTTATGGGCTGTTTTCTTGGCTTTACATATTAATAAATAAATACATGAAGCAAAAAATAGATTGTCATACCCTAAATGACACAAAAGTCATTCACAACATTGCACAGGTTTGAAGCGATGTCACACTGAATTTTAGGAACAATGAGATACCTAAAAGTGACTGCCTTCATTTCTATATGTACACATAAAAATATTAGGACTAATAATGGAGGAATACATAAAAATATTAGGAATTAGTTTTGGGAGAAAGTTACACCTCATTAACAATTTCATCAGAAAGTAAAATATGTTTGTAGACAGGATGATCAATTATTTTTATCACTGCAATCACTTCTAAAAGGTGCATTTATTATTTAAGAGCACTGCTCAGCCTTGCAGTAAGATCTCTGTGAATACCTTAAATTCTGTCTTGGTGAGAGAGCCAATCATCGACACTGACTCTTTTGGAAGGCCCCAGCACATGGGTGGGATGTCTTCTGGTTTAGGTTTAAGTGTCCTTGTAAAAGCACAGAATTCATATGAAATGATTGTTAACCCATGATTTTGCAGTGTTAGCAGAAAGAAAAAAGTGAGAAAGTCAGAAAGAGCAAGTTTTATGGTGAACAAAAGTGATTTGTTCTGTGAACATATCATGGTTTATAGGGCCAGAAATGCAAATTCTGCTCCCTTGGTAGCTGAAGACCATGGCAGCAAGGACAATCGATGGAGAGACTTAGTAATTTGAGTCTTTGAAAGTTTTCCAGAAGAGACTGAGAGGGAAGTTACAGGGAAAAGCTTAGTGGACCCATGGTCTGTGAATACCCCCAAAGCACAGGCAGCCATCATTAAATAATAGGAAATAATAGCAAGCTCACCCACGCCCCCCGTACCTGACTTGGCAGTGATCCAGAGTGATGACTCCATACAAAAAGACAAACAGTCCAATGAAGGCAGCTGGAAAGAGCATGCCGGTGTACCAGCCCAGCCAGGCAAAATACAACCCAATCTTCTCTCCAAAGTACCGCCTGTGGGAGACACAACAGCCTTACAAGTTACAGTGAAGAGTTCAGAGGTGGGTATTGTAACACTTTTCTCAGTGTTTTACTTTGCAGTGGCTTTGCAGCCATAAACGTGCGGACAAAGTAAGCCAAGAGAATGCAACATTTGACTGAGTCTAGGCTCTGTATCAGGAATGGAATGAACCCTTTTATAAAATGACCTTCACAAGCTTTGCTCTGAGAAAACGGAATAAACCCAAGCCCATTCAGGAAGCTATAATATACTGTTATTAATATAAAACCAGAATTTGAAGACCTGGTGCCAACATCTCATTTTTGCCATTTCTGAGTGTATGTTTGTTTGTAATGTATGTATTATCATTATGTATTTCTTTAAAAATAAGAAACCAAGTTACTGTGAAAAACTTTAAATATCCCTTTCAGAAGGTGAAGGGATTATTCAGAGAACATATAGGAATGACCCATGGACAACAGTGTGGGGATGAACTATGGGGGTGGGGGTCTAGATGGAGAAGGGCAAAGGGGGGAAATTGGGGCAACCATAATAGCATAAACAATAAAATATTTTAAAGAATAAGTATCTCTTTCAGTAATTTGTAGCTTTACCAGATGTTTACAATGCTCGAATCACAAGATACTGGGAAGCAAAAAAAAAAACCCCTCTAATTACTGAGATTCAACATGAATATGAAGTCTGTCTGGAAAAAGTCCATCCATTGTTAATACAACAAGAATGGTTTGCACAACATGGATGTAACCTGGCAGCCAAGGAGAGTGGACTGGAATAAGCATGTGTGAACAATGGTGACTTCACTGTACTAGTCATTGGGGGCAGTAGACCCCAGTTGAGTGAGCACATGTACTGTGTGGCTGTCACATTCAAAATGACTGAGTAAATAGGACAATGAATCTGTGTCAAATTTTGCATTAAGCTTGAACATTCCTCCATGGAAACTATTTGGATGACTGAGAGGGACACAGCCATGGGCAACTGGTGATTGGCAGCTTCATTACGACAATGTGCCTGCTCATGCATTACATCTCGTGCAGAGTTTTTTGCAAAATGTCAAATTACCCAGTTGACTCAGGCCCCCTCAAGCCCTGAGCTGGTGCCCTGTGGCTTCTGGCTTTTCCTAAAACTAAAATCACCTTTGAGAGGGAGGAGATTTCAGATTGTCAATGAGATTCAGGAAAATACAATGGAGCAGTTATGGAGATTGGGAGAACTGTGTGAGGTCCCAAAGTGCCTAGTTTGAAGGGGACTAAGGCATCATGGTCCTATGCATAATGTTTCTTGTATCTTGTATCTTCTTCAATAAATGTCTATTTCATATTACATCTCTGGATATCTTCTGGACAGACCTCCTAGATACTTAGAACAACTTTCTCTTTTAAGGGATGACTTACAACAGCCTTCAATATCTATCTGTATAAATTTTTTTTCTGAGGCTAACCAGGCTGCCTAGTGCCCTGTGGTCTGTGAAGTTTGAAAGTGTCTAGGACATTCCTTGGTCTTTCTTAAATATCAATAATACAATCAACTTGTGTTGATACAAGAATACAAACCAAATTGTGCTTTCTGTGTCTTTCAACTGCTACATTTCATGAGTCAGAAGGTATTATTTCTTAGCTCAGCGTAAGAATATTCTAATTAGCTTTTTCATTCCCATTCTAAACACCTGTTGTTGACCATCTGCTTCCACATACCAACTACTCCTTTCCTCTCAGAATGTCCAATGGCTCCTAGGAACATGCAGTTATTTATTTATCCCTCATCCATGGTCTCAATGGAAACTTTTCACTCCCAGAAGACTTTTCCAACATGCCTTTATATACCCATATATATATATTTATTCATTCAACAGACAAAAAATATCTACTATGTACCAAATACTGCGCTAGGTGCTGAGAATACGTTGGTGACAAAGATAAGCTTGGTCCCTGCTCTTATGAAGCTTTCCAGGTAACAGAGGCCACTCATGTAGATCAATTAAGGAGGTAAGTGTATCATTATAATACAAAACTGAGAAAAGAGCTAAAAAAGGAGAGGAATACAATTCAATCAGCATCTATAATAAGGCCATTTGGCCACCCAGGTCAGGGAAGGCTTCTTTGAGAAGGTAACTATTGCGCTGATGCGTGAAAGTCAGCTAGGTGGGGTTGGTGCCAAGATAGTTTCCAGCAGAGAAAGCAGTCTGGACAAAGATCCTGGGGTAGGAGGCACCAAGTGCAATGAGGGCGGTGTGACTGCGGCATTGAGAACCATAGGTGGGCGTGAAGTAGGTTGGGGCTGGGCCTCCACGGACCTTGTAGAACATGCTAAGTGCACTGATCTTTGTCCCGAGAGAAATGGAAACTCACAAGAGGGTTTTAAGGGATCAAGGGACAGGATCAGATTCACATTCCAAAACGATCAGTCTGCCTGCAGGGAAGAGTATGGGTTGGGATGGGCCCAAGTGGGGAAAGGGAGAACAAGTAGGGGACAACAGTGTTAGTCTAGGTGACGAGGGGAGGAAGCAGTATAGCGGAGCAGATGTCCAGATCAGAGAGAGATGGAGGAAGCGAAGTCTCTAGGACAAGAATTATTTTAGGGCCCCAATTCCCTAGATGCTCCACTGTTTCTACTCAAACCCTGCCTGTGCTTCTCCTCTCCCTTCCCTTTGGCCAACACCAGCCCCACTGCCCTTCCAGGACTCAGCCCTGCAGAGCCTTCCACAGAGGCGCTGCCCACCACCCATCCTTCCCATGTTTCTGAGTTACTGTAAAACTCACCACCTCCATCAGACATTTTCCCTAACTGTGCATTGTCTTGTACTATTCTATACTTGTCTCAAGTATGCAGGGTCTGTTTCCCTGAGGACATCGAGAGGTTCTCAAAGCCAGAGACTAGCTTCGGTGTGTCTTTGCCAATAGTACTTAGCATCGTACCAGAAACACAATGGGCAGTTAATTAATACTCACTGACAAACTGCAAAGTCTTAATCAAAACACCGTCATGAATGAGATGTTTTGCCTGCAGCAACTTCCTGTAATATTTAATCAATGTAATACTATAACATGAAACCAAGGCTGGGAAGAGAATTTGCTTTTATTTCACTCCCTACACTGTTTTTCATGTATTGGAACTAGTCAAAGGAAAATAATTTCCTCTCAGAAAATATTTTCCACTCACAACAAATCACCTGGATCATTTATTTTACCAATACAAAGGATGGAACACAATTCATCAACGCTCTTGAGTCAACAGGAATAAACACTTGGAAACAAGGACTCTGGCAGGAAGAATGACTACCCAGGGAGATGAAACATAAAGTAAGTTGTCTCATTTCATTTTCCTCTGGGCTCATGTTTTGAGAGTCTCTGTAAAAGTGAAACAAATCCAGCTGGTCTAGGAAATGAGACATGACTTTCTCTTTAATAAGAAACCTGTGAGGTGTGGATTGTTGCTACGAGTCCTAATAACTGGTCTCTAAATAAATAATGAGATGCCAGCGTAGAATCCTGCCACGGCAGAAAGTTGGGCATACATAGACCCTTAAAAATACATTTTCACTTCACAATTGTCATCAGCTACTGCTGGGATTATATCCTAAGAACCCTGAAACACCAATCCAAAAGAACCTATGCACCCCAATGTTCAAAGCAGCATAATATATAATAGCCAAGTGCAGGAAGCAACCTAAGTGCCCATCAGTAAATGAATGGATCAAAAACCTATGGTACATTTACACAGTGGAACTCTATGCAGCAGAAAGAAAGAAGGAGCTCCTGCCCTTTGCAACAGCATGGATGGAACTGGAGAGCATTACTCTAAGTGAAATAAGCCAGGCGATGAGGAACAGATACTATATGATCTCACCTTTAAGTATAACCTAATCACCAAAACAAGCAAGCAAAATATAACCAGAGACATTGAAATTAAGAACAATCTGACAGAGGGGAGGTGAGAGGAGATAATGGGGGGGTGGGAAGGGAAGAAGGATTATCAGGAACAACTATAAAGGACACGTGGACAAAACCAAGGGTGGGGCGTGGAAGCAGGGGAGGGAGGTGGGAAGTGCTGGGATTGGGGGAGAGTGATGGAGGGGTAAATGCAGACAACTGGACTTGAACAACAATAAAATAATTTTTAAAAAATCTTCCAAACAAAAAAAAGCTGATAAACTCTTTTACCTGAAGTATTAAAACAATCTTTAAAGGTTATTGGTTTCAAATGAAAAATAAACCTGAAATGTATTAGAATGACAGCTCCTCATATATCTTACTAACATCATAGTAACTAATATTCCATTTGTCACTAATATGTGTAAGCAGTGTCACCTCTCTGTAACTGTCACTGAGGATCTGTTGATAAGTCGCATAGGTGACCTGCTCCGTCTGGAGTTTCATGGAGATCTGGCTAATCCCACAGGCCCCTTCCTGAGGCCTTTTTGGAGGAAACAGCATCCTCATCAGAGGAGTTTGGGTTGCCCTGAGAGCTGCCCTTTTGGGAGGAAGCCAGATTCCAGCGAGAACTGTGCACCTCCGACCGTTTTCTCTTGTCCCAGCAGACAATCTGCCCTAATCACTCTGTGCAAGCTTTTTATATGCACAGCAGGGTACAAACTCACCTTACGAGATCCAAAGGCTGGTATTTATACCACACGCCCCAGGAGGCCCAGCACTCATACAGCAGGTGTCGGTGGTTTTCGGCTCCATGGGTTCTAATGGAGTTTTTGCTTCTGTAACTTCCCTGGAATAAAACCACCAGTGAGGTAACACCCACACAAGCCACAAGGAAAGTGACTAGTTATACAAGGCTCCTATGGCAAGAGTAGCAATAGAGGTGATATGAGACAAAAATGGATCCATACTATGGAAGGGAAAGAAGTTTGATTCTTTACTCTGGTCGTTATCTCATTGATGATCCCGTGTGGGAAGAAGCACATGGCTGCTAGAATCAGGCAGGTTCCAGCTGAGTTCAGATTCGGTTCTGCTGCTGCTTGGCTGGGAGACCATAAACTCTCCGAGCCTTGGATGCCTAGTTCATAATGGAACTGATAATGTCCATCTCAGTGGGTTTCTTCTGAGGGTTAAGTGAATAACGTGTCTTGCTAGGAGGCCATGCCCCGCATGGACCAGTTCCCTTTCCCAGCTGTGTCAAGAGCACTTGGTAACCTGCCATAGCTGTGACCTTGCCACATAGCCTTATCTATGAGAAAACACTGGAATGTAAAAGCTGGCAGTCACCTCAAACTTAGAAAAATTCAAAACTAATTTGACCTCCTCACTGAGAAAAGGAGGAGACCAAAGCCAGAGGGGTGGCATTTTCTGAGCCCAGCTAATGGCAATGCTGGTTTCACAAACAGAAAACGTATTTCCTCGAGGTGAAGTGATCACTGGGAAGTCCTTTCAACCTGAGAAGCCCTTTTTTAGTGGAGAGTAAACAGGGCCAAGAGCCGAGAAACTCGGGCTCACGTCTCAGATGAACCATCAACTCCATGTGTAACGAGAGGTGGGCTAACCTTTCTCTAAACCTCTAAATTCCTTTAAATTTCAAACATCAAACAAGGACACCAATATCTGCCCTCCCTGCCCCTGAACATTGTTGTGAGGTTAAATAATACAATCAAGTTAACTTGAGAGTAAAAAAGTAAAAAGAACAATTGTTATTTCAGATACTATTATTAATTTGGATGTTCTCTTATAAAATACAGGGCTTTATCGAGATATGAAAACCACAGAGAAACCCTTGTGTTACTCTGTAAGGTTTCATAAGTGATCTCCGACACCCTTATGCCCACCAGCCACTCACCTGTGCAGGTGGATCTGCCCATCTGCTGCTGACCTTACCCTGCGGAAGGGTTGGGTAGTGGGAGGGCGCAATACTCACTGACACTCTTTTTGGGGCAATGTAAACTAATAACTACAGGAAGCCATGTGATGTTTTGGTGAAAAATTTCTCTTTAGAGTTAAGAAACCCCCTGTGTGTGGCTCAGGAAGGCAGGAGGGAATGAGGGGACTGGATGAAAGAAGGTGAAAAGATTTGCGAAAGAACATATATGAAGGGGAGCCCCCCAAATCCAGAATTTATTTATAAAAGATTGTGTGTTTATTCTGGCATGTTGAAACTTCAGTCATCTTCAAAGTGCTGTTTGATGCAAAACACCTATCAAGAGGTTTTTCCCACCGCTCAAAACAGTTTTTGAACTTGCTGATTTTGATGCCTTTTAGTGCTTCTGTGGTTTTTTATTTTACTTCTTCCACATCAGCAAAATGTTTCCCTTTGGGGACTTTTTTAATCCAGGGCAACAAAAAAAAAAAGTCACTTGGGGTGAATAGGGTGGGTGGGGCACAGGGCTCATGCTGCTTTTGGTGAAAAACTGCTGAACACTCCATGTGGTCTGCAGGTGTGCTTATTAATCACCCATCGTGAAATGGGGAATACACTGAAAGTCTTCAAAAAAAAAATTCACTGAAGCCAAATGCAGCCTCTCACAACAACGCCAGCTGGTACACTGATACAGATGGGTTCCTGAAACACTCACCTAGCAGGGGGAGCATGTACTACAAGGGGCCCACCCACCAGAGATAATTCCCTTTTTTTATGTCCCTCCTTGTATGCATGACCCATAGACACAGACAACAGTATGGTGATGGCCAGAGGGCAGGAAGGAGGTGAAGGTGGATAAAGGGGAGGGATGGGGACATCTATAATAGTGTCAACAATTAAAAATAAAATTAAAAAAATAACCCAAAACAAATATGCATTTAAAATAAATACAGAAACCTATAAGAGAGAAAAAAAAAAACCCTTTGTGTCACAATGTTTGCTTCTGTGATACTAAAAAGGGTCATTCCAAAATTGTATCATGGCAGACTATAAATAGGGCCTCACATCGAAGCTAGTTTTGTTAATGAATAAGGTTTTAAAAATTCTAAATCACCTCTCGCATCCTCATGGAGTTTGCAGTCAAGGGAAGAAACACTGTTGTTAGCCAAACAAAAAGACTGGTCGTTTGGTGACAGTTAGAATTCTCCTCTGAAGTTTATCAGTGAACTGTTAACATTACTTTTAGTAGAAGATGGTTCCAAAAATCACTAAAAGTAGCTTTCCCCTGGCAAGTTTGTGATGTTGTTCTAGAGGGCATGCACCATGATGTTTATTCTCATATTCTCTTTCATGTGGTGACCAGTATGAAGTAGGGGCACAATACTATGAAAAAGACAATAATCTCTCTCTAATAATGAAAAATCCACATGTGAAGATAGTTCTGTGAATAACCCAAGATCTAGTGGGGAATTGGAATTAAGAGTAATTACAGTTACATTAACAAAAGCCCTGAAATAAGACAAAGAGCATGTAGTAAATAAAATAAAACAGGAAAAAAAAGATAAATGCATTTAAAAAAATCAGAATGTATGTATCTTAAAAGAGCAATGATAAGTACACTATTAATTTCCATTTGTCACCCTTTGGTTACCGGAGACGTTGCACGATGGCTTCCTCCCACTCTTCAAAGAATAACTATACATCTCCTTGTTGCAGAAACTATATCCTTCAGGAACATTTCCCCCATGGGTCTACTGCCTCATGCAAATGTTCAATGCCTCAATAATTTTATGACTTGGAGTCCCTCAGCCATTCCTCTGAATTCATGCTGAGTGACTCCTGGTTCAAGTATTATGGCAATTATATAAAAAGACACACAGCTATAAACCATCCTATGCTGGCTCACACAGCAAGTAGGCCTAATCATCTACCGTACACGTTAAATTCATCCTGAACAAATGTCGTACCAACAAACTCAATGACAACCCCCAGAAGCTGATTTAAGAACAAGACATTGACACAGAAGGAGAAAAGGCAGGACAAATACCTCGTGCAGAGGGAAGGCAGCTTCATAGGAGCCATTGGTAAGCAAGCGATTCAGACCTGAAAAAGCAGAAAGTCCAATTGGAATTACTACAGAGTTTCAACCCTCACAATGTTCAAGATTGATGTAAGGGTCGTACTTGTTGGGGAAAACCATCTAGGTTTTCAAAAGCGATGGAAACCCACTTGCGAACAACACCAACAGTTTAGAAAGACAGTTGCTATCTGCTAGGAAGCTAGAGTTGGGAATTTTCAAACAGAAAACAAGAAAGCACATCCAGTACAGCACTCGGCTTGGAGACTGGAACCTGCTGAGAGGCGTGGACATGTTTATCATATCAAAATAAAACCCCCACAAGATTTTCCACCAGGAGCTTCTCTATTTTTATCTGGAAGTTTCAAAGATGGCCAAATCTAATTCCTCTACATTGGGTGAGTGGTGTGACTTTGGAAAAGCCGTCTTGTCCTCAGGCCTCAATTTCCTCATCTGTGCTATGGGGGAGGGGTATTGAAATATGTGGATATATTTTTTAAAACAGCTTTATTGAGGTACCTGACATATAATAAATGGCCATATGTTTAAAACATGTAATTTGAGAAGTTCTGACTTGTATATACTCCAGAAACCATCAGCACAATCAAGAGAGTAAACATATCCATCACCCCCAAAGTTTTGTCCTGCTGTTCTGCAAGTGCCCCTTCCCCCCTGTGCCCCACTCCAAGGCAAACACTCATCTGCTTTCTGTCACCACCGGTTAGCTTGCATTACTAGAGATTTACATACATAAAATCACAGTACTTCTTTAACTCAGCATGATTATTTTGAGGTTCATTTCTTTTTATTGCTGAGTACTTTTACATCATATGGATATATAATTATTTGTTTATCTAGTCCCCTCACGAGAGACATTTGGGTTGGTTCCAGTCTTGAGCTATTACCAAAAAATGCTGCCATGAGCATCTGTGTACAAGTCTTTGTATGGGTATCTGCTTTCATGTCTTGGGTAAACAGAACAGCTAGATGACATGATAGATGTACGTTGTAACTTTTTGAGAAAATGCCAAACTGTTTTTCTGACATGTTTGTACAATGTTACACTTCCATCAGCAGCACACAAGAATTCAAGTTCCTCCACTTCCTTGCCCACACTTGGTATGGTCAGTCTTTAATTTCAGCCATTCTAGTAGGTGTGCGGTGGTAGCTCGTGGTTTTAGTTTGCATTTCCCTAATGAATAATGATATTAAAATCTTCTCAGGCACTAATTTATCATCAGTATATCTGCTCTTGTGAAATGTCTGCCTAAATCTTATGCCCATGAAATTGCTATTATTGAGTTATGAGTGTTCTTTATATGTAACTATATATAAGAGAAGCCTGATAGCTTCTCTTTTCGTTTTCTTAAAAATATATTTCAAAAAGCAGAAGTTTTAATTTTGTGAAGTCCAGTTTATCCATTTTTTTCTTTTATGAATCTGCTTTTCATATTATATTTAAGAATTTTTTAGCTCAAGGTCACAAAAAGTTCCTTCTAGAATTTTTATAGTTTTAGGCTTTCATTGAAATCTATGATCTATTTTTATGATTAATTTTTGTATTTGGGCTCAGGTTCATTACATGGGTATAAACTGCTCTGGCACCATTTGTTGAAAAGATGATCTTTCATCCACTGAATTTCCTTTGAGCCTTTGTCAAAAATCAGTTGTCCATATGTGTGTGGCTTCACACCAACATAATACACTCTTTATTACTGTAAATTTGTAATAATTCTTGAAATCAGGTAGCTAATACTTTTAACTTGCAATCTGTGGTCTTTTTCAAAGTTATTTTGACTCTCCTAGGTTTCTTCACGTCCTTAGTAATTTTAAAATCCGTTTGCAAATTATTCCCCACTCCCCCAACACACACTCTGGGAGTTTGACTGAGACTGTGCTGAATCCATAGATTAAATTAGGGATAACTGACATGTGAACAGTATTACATTTTCTGATCCATGAACAGAATATATGTCTGAATTTGTTTAGGTCTTAGATTTACAATTACTCAGTGTAAATTGTAGTTTAAATGTACACTTCTTACATATCTCTTGTCAGTTAAGTATTTCATGTTTTTGATGCTATTGTAAATGGTATTGTCTTTAAAATTTCAGTTCCTTGCTGTTTGTTGTTGATTTGTAGGCATAATATTGAGTTTTATATATCAATCCTGTTTCTTGCAACAAGGCTAAACTCATTAATTCTACTAGCCTTTCAGTGGATTCCACTGGAATTCCTATATAGATGGTCAAATCATCTGAGAATAAAGGCAGTTGTACGTACTTCTTTTCCAATTTGGATGTCTCATTCCTTTTCTTGTCTTACTGCACAGACTAGTAGAATGATGAATACAAGAGCAGACATACTTGAACTGTTCCTTATCTAAAGGGGAGAGCATTCAGTCTTTTACCGTGAAGTATAATATTAACTATAAGCATTTTACAGATGCACTTTATAAGGTTGAGGGAGTTCCTTTCCATTTGTAATTTGAAGAATTTTGTCAAATGCTTTTTCTGTTCTGTAGAGATGATCAAATGGTTTTCCCCTCTAAGTTTTTACTTTGCTAACATGGTAAATCATATCAGCTGATCTTCAAATGCTAAGTCAACCTTTTAGTCCTGGATAAACCCTACTTGGTCATGATATACTACAGTTTTTAATATGTTGTTGGATTTTATTTGCTAAACATTGTTTATAATGTTTGCATTCATATTCACAGAGGTTATAAATTTATAATTTTTTATTCTTGTGTTTGCCTGGCTTTGGTACCTGAGTAATACTACCCTCATAGAATAAGATGGGAAGTAGTTTCTACTCCTCAATTTGTGAAAGGCTCTTGTAGAACTGGTGTTATTTCTTTCCTGAGTGCCTGATAGAGTTCACCAGTGAAATAATCTGGACCTGAAGTTTTCTTTGTGAGAAGTTTTTAAAATATAAACTTATGCCCTGGCTGGTGTAGCTCAGTGGACTGAGTGCGGGCCTGCGAACTACATGATCGCGGTTCGATTCCCAGTCAGGGCACATGCCTGGGTTGCAGGCCAGTTCCCAGCAGGGGACTCATGAGAGGCAACCATACATTGATATTTCTCTCCTTCTCTCCTTCCCTTCCTCTCTAAAAATAAATAAAATTAAAAATATAAATAAACTTAATTTCTAATTATATGTATGGAGATAAAGAGCTAGACAAGTTATTTAACACTCTTCTTGTGTTTTTCCTGTTTTGATTATCTCAGGTGGGCCAGAAAATCTTGTGTTTGTTACTCCATTTTGGCCAGAAGTGGAAGTTTAATGTGTTGACCTTTAAAGTTTTTTTCAAATAGAGATTTATGATACTCCCTGAAATGTACCACAGAGAGGATAATTGGATGTCTCTCAAGTAGTTTATAATAAAGAAATGCTCTCTATGATTAGATCATTATTAGAGTCCAGAGTCTGAGCCCCACTGGAAAAAGAAACATGCACTGATCTACTTTGTATTGATGGAGCGTCAATGTTTAGGTACTTTTAATCACATTAACACAGTAATGTGATTTACGATGCTTGACATTAACACTAAGTGTCTAAGGAAAGCATTTGGAATAACAATATCCACAGGGCTTTGTATTTTGTCTAGCACATGGCAGACCCTCCATAAATACCTGTGAAAGGGAAGGATAAATGATTGCGTAGAAAGCTTTGAGTTCCTGAAGTTTCTACTGAGAATTCCCCATATCTCATCAATGATTTTCAAACATCCCAGATAGTATATATATTTTTAAAAAAGGATGCACATGGACCTAAGAAGAGACCCTGATGATGACCTTTATAAGTTTATCATAATGTATCCAAGTCCTACAAAGTAATAAAGTAGTTAATGTTTGAAGTCTATCGGTTTACTAACCTCCCCTCTGAGCACCAATTTTGAAAACGCAAATCAACTCTAAGACTTATTTTATGTGTTTACATAAATCTCTGTTGCTCTATCAATTGCTGCATTTTGAAGATGAATTTCAACAGGCTTGATTTGCACAGCTGTAATAAATTCAGAGTGAAGTTGAAAAACTTACACAGTGGTAGTTTACACTCCACTGAAATTCTCTTATGAATCATTTTTATAAATCAGTATTTTTTGTTACCTAATCGATACTGGCTTATGCAAGATTCCACTTTCAGAAGGAGGTTCAGGCAGAAAATAACATTGGGCAGATATTAATTCTATCAATAAATTAATTTTCTCCACTATGTTGTTTCTTTTATTTATGAAACCAAAGATGACAATGAAATATCAGATTGACAGCATTTGTATGTAGTTTCACTTCATATTTTGTTAGTATAATTCCTGATCATGGGTTAATAGTTCATTCTGTAATTGGTTTTTGCTCATTTTCCAGTTCATCATTACTTATTTTCAAAACACTGGGGGTACTTAAATAGAATCCTCCCCTTTTCATCCAATGAGAGAACTATTAAGAAAAAAATCATTTCTCACTAGAGAGATGATTACATGTCCTGTGTTCCTTCAGAACATTTAAAATTCACTGTCTCTGCCCTTCTTTTGTCTCCATGTTGCCTAATTGTAAAAATAGCCTGCATTTTGAGGTGGAAAATTAAACATAATAATTGCTATGTGGCCTCATTACACACAGTTTTTGACTTTGGAAGGATGCTGTGGCTGGACAGACATTGATCATGTTAAAACATCTTCACTTCAGTCCAACAGCACTTCTGCCATAAGCCAGAGGCTGTGCTAGACGATGATTATACAAAGACAAATAAGACAACTTATACACAACTAAGGAGCTTATTATCTAGACTAGCAATTTTCAGCTGAAGATTCTCAACACACTAGTATGTCACAGTGAGTTATAAGGTACGCTGCCTGTTATAATACCAATATTAGAAAAGGAGATTTAAAAAAAAAAACTATTTGTGTTTTATGAGATAACCAGAATAAACACTGTTGTAATCATTTCTCTCCTACTCACTTGTTTGCTAGTATGCTCATGAAACAATGTTAACGGAAAAAAAAAGTATGATAAAAGTTAAGTGTAGCATATCCCAAGTTTGTTTTAAAAATCACATGGGCAAATAGGGGATACACATGAAAAAGTATTAATGTAATATTTAAAGTACTTAATACACCACAATGTTAATATTTGTTCATGTCAGGTGGTAGAGTTTTCATAATGTCATTGAAAATAAACAAAGATAATAAGAGTTGTAAATGATTAATTATGAAATAAACACACAGAGAACAACTGTCATATGAATTCGGAGCAGGGACCCCTTCCTTTGAGCTGGAACAGGCCTGGAGGACTCTGCAGAAGACGTGTCTCAAGGACGGAAGACTGCGGCAGAGACTGCAAGCATGTGTGGCCTCACCACACTGCTGAAGTTGAGACAGACCTAAGTCAGGTTCACTTCACCATTCCCACCTACACCGACTCGCACTGGAAGGACCACTCCAGGTATAGTCAGATCTGGACTAAGTAACTGTCTACTTCTGCCTATCGTATTTTAATTCATACAGCTTGGGATCAAAGTAGTCTTGGTAGCTTTACCATACTCATGACTCACACGGAGCTGCATTCAACTAAACCTCTCAAGTTTGCTCCTCTTCTGATGCTGAGCGACATTTCTCCCACGGGGCCAGGGAAGTTGCTTTGCTGAATTTGAGTGTAAGAGTCTCTATTTACAAACTACCAAATGTCATCTGGTTGGATTTGGCTGGGATTCCAAGATCCCTGAGATCAGTTAGGCTCTTGAGTCCAACGACTAACATATTTAATACCTCCTTCCAGTCTCTACACCACCTGAAAGCTTGCTGAGTAGGCTGTTTAGGCCAAGTGCCAGTTCAGTGTATTGTCCCTTCACTCCAAATGTACTTAATTGCCTGCTTTGCAATAATGGAGCTGGACCTTGTAAATGATTTATCCTCTGCCAGATGGTACAATGTGAAACAATGTTGGCAGAAGGCACTGGAGGGGCACTGGAGGAGGAAGAAGTTGATCTTCCTGGTACCAATATGCTCCCCTCAGCAGGTTGCTGCAATACATGGCTTCTAGGGTACCCAGCTCCTGTGGTGCATGGGGGCCAGTGACACATGGCACCTCCCCAAGGGCAGGAGTCCCTTGAACAGCTTCAGAATAGTGCTGTTGATGCACAAACAAATGGCTTCCCTGGAACCCTCCAGACAGCTTCTGCAGTACCGGAGAGGGCAGATTCCCAGACAGCCCTGCTCACCCACCACACCCAGCCAACAGCTCTGCTGCCCAGCGAACCCCAGCTGCATCCCATCCAACAGGGCTTGAGTCTCAGCTTTGCTGGGGGAGTCTTTCTAGGGGTGGTGACTACTCCTAATTACTTGTTCTTCCTCTGCTCTTTGGAGGTCTTCTTACTCTTTACTAGCCAGCCCTCCATGACCCCAATCCCCTGCCACAGTTCATTTTTTCTATTGAGCTTTCCCTCTTCAATTATGTGGTACTTTTGTCTCTTGATTAGACCCTGACTGATAGAGGTCATTAATCAAGCTATTGATAAAAATCTTGCTGGGACAGAGATAAGGAAAAAGCCACCCAACTGTTCCTGATCATATAATAATCTGTTTAATAAGGCAGGAAATTTGGTAATACAATATGGGAAAGTTCTCGAAAAAATGTCCGCAGTCTAAATTGTGGAGGTTGTTTAATGGGAGAGGTGATTATCTGGAGAATTTACTTTCCCGTGACAGCTTGCAAATCTGTACTTGCAGCGTCCTCTGCCCGGAATGCCCGCCCTCCAACCCTCCACCTGTCCACACTGGCTCCCTCTTATTGTGTCTCCATTCAAATTTCAGCTTCTCAGTGAAGCTTTCACTGACAATTCCGTTTCAGCTTTATCGCTCCCCCAGCCTTTCCCAGTCTATCTTTGAAACACCATCCATTTCAATTTCTTCATGTATGTATTATATTTATTTCTCTATTGCCTACTTTCAGCTCTTTCAACATAAGGTCCAGGAGAGACCTGAGTTGATCTCCCAACATTGAGTCCAGTGCCGGGCACACCGTGAACATTCCATAGATATTTGCTGAATTGAGAACTGAGAGCATGGCTCCATGACCTTACAGAAGTGAAACAACATGCTATTTAAGAAAGACACTGAAGGATGCCATTACAATAAGATATTACACTTGTGAGATATCCTTCAAGGGAAAAGTCAGAGGTTTCACAAATGACAAGCATTTCTACAATGGATTATTAACGTAATGGAACCAAAGGAAAAAAGTATGTAATCCCCCCAAATCAAATGTAGCTTTTTACACTTAGACATCACTTACCAATTTTGTTTTTTCCTTCTTCATACTTTATTCTTTGTAAAATATGATGCACGATTCTACTTCTTGTGGCGTTGTTGAAGAAGGTGTCTTTGTTGTGTATGATGAAGCTGCACACACATATTGAAAACACAAGTTGAGGGTTAACTGGAGGTGCAGAATCTGACCTTTGGCATAATTTGGTGTTGCTCATACAGAGGTGTCCTCGGTCAGCCACAGACAGGCCACGTCTAGAACAGCATGAGAGCACCTGGAGGTCACACCAGGGGCGGGAGGCTCACAAGTCTCCGTAGTTTGGATCCTCAGTCTCATCAGCATTAACGTCATCATGTCAGAAAGGAGGTATAGGTCTACAAAAATGAGGAACCTTAAAAGAAACTCATAGCGAGTCTAGGCCTCATATCTTATTTTTTCTCAGTATGGTCATTAGGTAAATTCAACTAAAAATGCATTTTGCCTTTATCTCCTGTTCTTTTTTCCCCCATCTGGATTTTTCCAGGAACTGTATTATCTGAAACCGGCATGGGTGGTGGAGTTAGGTAATGAGCTCTTGTCTGGTTCAAGAGTGAGGTGAGCATCTAAAAGTCACCTCTGTCCATTCTTTTCCCATAGACCTTTCTGGATGAGACCCTTCTTCTAAAGCATATACTTAAGGTTGCTTTCTCTCTCAACCAGCAGCCCACCCAGCCCCCACAGTTCACACACCAGGTACATACATACACACCCCAACCATGACCGTGGGTTTTCCAGTAGGTGTTTCAATGCTACTGAGAGGCTTTCCAGGTAATAGATAGAGCTTCCCAGACCACAAAATTCAGCATGAAGTTGCCATGTCTGCCTTTCTGAGGAATGTGTTAAGTGATGGAATATTAGAGATACTCTGAGTATTGTATAATTATTTCATAAATTGTAAAACACTCGACAAACTTTTATTGGGTACTTTGTATGAGCTGGACACCATGCAAGGCACATCAAAGTTGGTAGCAATCACCCTCAAAATACGACTCGGAAGTTACCTCTACCACCAAGTCTCCCTACTCCTGACTCAAAAAGAATTCAACACTGTCTCCTCTGAGCTTTTTCTTATCTTGCAAACACACTAATTTACTGATCACTGTACTGTCATTCGTTTTCATTCATTTGCTCAGCAAATGTTTATTGAGGGCACTCTGTAAGGCACTGATTATACAGTGGTGAGTAAAACAGACAAAACCTCTATCTCTGAGAGGCTTACAGGGTAGCGAGGATGACAAACCATACAGGAAAGGAACATGATCCCGGGGCAAAGAGGGGTGGAGTCAACCTCCTTCTGCATGTCTTTCTCTTCCCCAAGACTGAGAACTCATTCAGGACAAAAGGCTGAATCATCATAATTTCTGTAGCCCAAGGATGTAGTAAGTGCCTAGTACACCATGCAGGTACAGATTTTTGAATAGTAGTATGTGAGAGGCATGGGGATTTATGTTGGAAAATATTTCTACTAAGTGTTTTCCTTCAAGAAGATGGATCCTGAAGAATTGCTCAAATGATGGAAGGAAGAGCTAACACTGGCTTGGAGAAAGGGTGGTTAGGAACGGGGTTTGATTTGGGAACAGAATGGGAAGGTGAGTTTGGGAGGACATACAAAGGAGAGGAAGGCCAGAGGACATGAAGACAAAAATGTATGAAAACAAAATAGGAAGACACATGAACTGACTCCTTAGAGAAGCATTTCCCTCTCACTTTTACTTTTATCCTGTTACAGAATATTGTTCTCAGAAGAAGGTACCCTGACTTGATGGATGAGTGAGAAATGCTATGTGGGTAAGTGAGGAAATCACAGCATTTATCTTCCATTTGCTTGAGGATTTTCTGAAAACATTTTATGTCATCAGAAAGGAAAAGAGGAAAGCGAAGAGTTACCTCAAATGTGGTTCCTTTTTATTTTATCCTCCTCTGCTTTTTCACCTTGAGACAGACCATTACATTTTAATACTAAATAGAGATGTCAGAAAGAAATAGATGACAGAGGAAAAAAAAAGCCCCTTCGAATAACAATTTCAGAAGACAAAGTTGATAAACATAGTTATGCCTGACAAGATACTCCAGGCTAGAGCTCACACCCTTCCTCCAGTACATGGTTTTCTGCTTCTTTCTCCTGTTTAGCACATTACATTTTGTAGTTCGTGCAATAGTTCTCTAAAATAATCATGATAGACAAGCTTCAAAACTGAGTTTCCTCTCCCTTACATATACATTGTACCTGGAGCCCGGAGATTCTTCAGCGGGTATGGGGGCAACTTTGCCCACAAGTCTCCCCGTCCACCACAGATGAAAGTGAAACTACTAAGACATGATCTGCTTGGGGAGGAGAGGTGGTCAGTCTCTCAGATGAGAAAGATCAAGAGCCCCTTCCTCAATGGCTTTTATTGGGTTGTAATACACAGGAATACAGGTAAAGCTCATCAATCAATGTCAGGTGGCAAGGATCAAACAGTAGATAACATTTCAAAGAAATCTGAGGGCTTAGTCTGAGTCAGTGTCTGTCAGGTAAGGGGGTTACAAAAACTTTGGGAGACATACTCATTTCCTGCTCAGACCCTTATCATATGAATGAAAGCACTCTTAGCAAAGCAGGCTTCACAGGACTTTAGGAACGCTTTCTTATGCCAGATCACCCTGGGTCCCACTCTGGCTGGCAAGGGGCTTCACCACCTTCCCCATCATAGGTTTTCAGGCGTAAGTGGATTCGAGCCAGGAACTGCTTCTCCCAGATGGAAATGGGGACTCGGGCTATGTCAGAATAGCTGGAGGGCAAGGGTCCATCACCCACTCTTTGCTGCAGCCCCCTTCCTACAGGGCATCCCAAGTGATCATGTCTGGCTTAGGTCGTCCCTTCTCTGAGGGATCTTACCCATCACTGACTAACTGACCAAGCACTGGGGGCAGGGGACAAGCTTTGTCTCCTGTGGCTCGCATTCCAGAGGTCGCTCACTCATCCTTAGCCATGGGAGGCAGTTACAACTCCTGAAACCAGGCAGAACGGTCCCCAACAAATGGGGACAAACACAGAGCCCGGGCCAGGTGCTGTCTAAGCCTCCCAGATATGTTAACTCATTCAATCCTTACAACAACTCAGGCATTAAAGACTTGAGAGTGTGGTCTCACAGGTGGAGAATCAGAGAGGTTAAGGAATGTGCCCCAAATCACTCAACTAATAGGAGGCAGAGCCAGGATTTGAACCCAGCCCCATAGACTGTCCACTTATCCACACCGCCCACCAACCTCCCTGGGACAGAACACCTCCTGGAGGCAGCTCTGCTTGGGATCCACCCAGGAGTGATTCTGCTTGGAATGCTCTCCTTGCTTCCAATCATCCTTTGAACCTCAGCTCAGGGTGCATCCCCCCTGCTCCAAGGGTCTTCCTGACCCTACCACTCTCACCCTAAAACATGATACAGGAGAGCTCTAAACATGCAGGAAGTGGGTTTCCACCCAAATATTACCTCTGCTTTCCCTTAAGACTTCAGAGTGAGATGGCCTCCATTTAAACCCTGGCTTTGTCATGTACTATGTGGTGTCAGAACTGCCCCTCACTTCTCTGGGTGTCAGTTTCTTGTCTGTGCAAGCAGGGATGGCACTGTAATCACAGGGTTTCTGTAGAATCAGACGAGAAGACAAACACTGCTGAGCCCACTGTCTGGCAGTCAATAGGCTCTCTTAGCTGTCATCACTGCTGTGCCTCCTATGACATTCTATAGACCATCGGCCTAGTGTCTGACTTCTCAGTCTGAGCTTCCTGAGGCAGGGGCCAGCCACGCTCATCTTTGTAGCCCAGCACTAATACAGGGCGTGGCACGTGATTCGTCCTTAAAGTTGGCCCAATGAGCAGACCTTCGGAGAACACTAGCTAACACTGGAGGTTATGGGACAATCTCATCTCCTTATACCTTGGCCTCCTCTACTCCTGCTTCCTGGACATCTTTCCATTCGTTCCATCTTTTCAGATACCATTTGAACTATTCTCTGGTTCCAATCTTCCTATAGGGTGTGGAGCATCTCATTTTCTCTGTCACTCCTTCAAACTGGAGGGCAGGAGAAGAACAGTGGTGATTTCCTACATCATGGTTCCCAGGCTTTTCTCCAGAGGTGTCAAGCTAATTTTCACCAGGGGCCACATCAGCCTTGCAGTGGCCTTCAAAGGGCCAGATAGAATTTCAGCTCCTTAACAGTAGTGACATTTATACAGTCCTAAAATTATTTTGGACCTTTGAAGGTAACTGAGAGGCTGAAATGGCCCCTGGTGATAATGAATTTGACACCCCTGTCTTAGCCACTTAGCCAAAAGAGCTTTCTTCAACTGAAATCACACACACACGACGGAAGCTGAGCTATTCTGGCAGACACAAGACTTGGTGCTCAGTCCCTGAGGCACCCAGGCTCCACACAGGCTTAGACACTCAGTTCTGTTTGCACTCACTGCCGACGGGGCAGCCAATCTGCACAAATTCTCTGAGGGCTTCTTGACAAGGTCTATCAGAATTATATATATACCCTCATCACATATCTCCTGACCCAGCAATTTCTCTTTCAGAAATTTACTCTATGAATACACTCACCCACATGAGAAGTGACAGATGTACAAGAATGTTCATTATGGCATGTGTTATAGCAGCAAAGGCCTGGAAATGACCTAAATAATTCACCAGTGGGGCATAAGATAAATAAATTATGGCACAGATTTCAATGAAATATTCTGCAGCTGTAAAATGATTTAAGGGTGCTCACTGTAGACATAAAAAATCTCCAAGATACTACAGAGAAAAAAACAAGGCTCAAAACACAGAGCTATTCGTGTCCAAGAGGAAAACACACACAGTTGTAGCTATACACAGGCTGACGTGTACTTGCTTGTGTGTGTACAGAGTGACGGCGGAAGGGCGCACACACATCTACAAACACTGGTTGCTTCTGGCCGAGAAGGTAGGAAGAAGTTTCACTATAAACACACAAGACATTTTTATCACATGTACCACCTATAAAAATGAAAAAAAATTTAAAGTAAAATTTTAAAAGGTTTCTGTTCTAGGTCTGTTCTCATCATCCCACTGAGGGGTGAGGAGGGCAACAC